AGGTGCCAGAATAGTGCCCTCCTACTATTGCACAGAACCTGTTCGATGAAATGCCTGAAAGGGGTGCTCGGTGTTGAGGCCCAAAAAAGTCACAAGAAGCCCAAAGACATTTAAAGTCTAATATAACATATAATGTTGGTCATGCATTAATCCAAGCTGTATTTTGGGAATTAATTCATTAAATAAATATAGAAATAGTGTGCATGTCATGCCAAGCCAATAATACATTTTTTATGTGTCAATCGCCTACCAAGCTCACATGAACCCAAGTCATGTGGTTTACAGGGGTTGCACGAGGTATTGTGGTGTGGAAGGTTACGGAGGTCCACAAGTCCCATGGAAGCTCTTGAATAATAGAGACTTTGGGCTAGCTGTTTGGCAGCACCAAAGTCCAAGCCCATTACTTGGAGTTCTCCAATGTGGGTGAACAAATGAAATATTTTTCAAGCACTTCCTTTTATCCATAGGAAATAGTCATTTTCCAAATGCCTAGCTTTACCCGTTGGAAACAAGCCTTTTCCAACACTCCCTATTACTTGCTGGAAACAAGCCGTTTCCAGCGCTTCCTTTTACCCACATGAAATAATCAGTTTACGGTACCTAACTTCACCTGCTAGAAAATAGCATGCCCCAATGCTCCCTTTTAACCATTGGAAATAGGCTGGTCACAACACCTCCCTTTATCTATTGGAAATAAAGGAAAACCATCACCCTCTATAAATTGGCAATCATGGCTCAGGCAAATGGCACCAACTTTCCTTCAGCCATCAAGCCCCCTCATTCGGCTGCTGCAAGCAATACAGTAGCCATCAACCTCATTCTTTAGCCATCAGGCCCTTCCTTTAGCTGCTGGAGCAGCACAACAACTTCTTACTTTGGCTGCTGCAAGTATCCCAGTAGCCATCAACCCCTTTCTTCAATCATCACACCTTCTTCCTAGTTGTTGCAAGCACCCCAACCATAATATCCTTTCTTTGAAATCCATCATCTTCTCTATAAAGCCTCAGCAAGCATAACTCTAAGCTTTTCCTTCCTTCCAAGCTATAAACACCATAGCCTTCAAACCTCAAGCTTTTCCTCCCATCCTCATTCTCTTGAAACTCTTACAGAGCTTCAATTAAGAGATTCCTCAAATAAGCTTATTTCAGGGACACCATTGTAGAGCCCACTCCATATTGTATTTCACTAATCCAAACCGTCTACTTTGTAAATATTCAATCAAAGATCATCTCTACAAAAAAACAAATAACTTGAATTCGATCATTTCACCACTCAATTGAATTATTGAAATTTTAGTACTTTCTTGAAGCACCATGTTCATTGATTTTGTAGGACACAATTGGATGTCGAAATAGTGTTTGATTGTAGGAGCTTTTTCTTTCCGGCAGCTACTACGGGCCTGGGGTGCCGTAAATAGCAAAATGGATGAAATTGCCCCTTGAGCCTAAGTTCGAAGATCAAGCCCCAAGAATGCTTCAAAAGGATAGTGAAGCCTTAGGAAACACCTTGGTTACCTTCGCCAACAAAAATAATAATAGCTTATAGATAAATTCTTGGCTTGGCATGAGAGCAAAATTGACATGAGTTTAGCACAGAAGAGAAAGTTATGCGTTCTTAGGGAAAAAGGGAGTGTTAAGGTAAGAAAGGAAAGGTTTGCAAGAAGGTTTAGCTGAGAAAAGAGGGAGAGAAAGAATTGGGTGTCTCAAGTGTTCTTCCGGCAGCTTGACAGGGGTTCTGTCAAATGTGGAAGCAGTCTGCCAGAAGAGGGAAAATGGGAGAGAATGGAGAATGTAGCACGAAATTGTAGAGTTTCAGAGATGAGAGATGAAACTTGCTCTCTATATGTTTTTTTTTTTTTTTTTTTTTTTTTTTTTTTTTTTTATAAAAAATTAAAAAAAATTATGGGGGGAAATGGGAAATAAATTTTATAGGCACTAGATAGCTATCGTTTTCCAAGAATCCCTAAAGGTTTCTATCCAATTTGGCCAAGTCTTTCTCTTCCTTTCTCTCCCTCATCCCTTCAATCATCCTATTTTGGTGAAATCTCTCTGCCAATTTGCACAAAATCAGGGATTTTTGGGTGCTCAAGGCCCTTTCCCGCAGCTGTCTCAGTGGAGAACTTCTATTCCTAGCCATCTCTCTTCCTTTCTTTCCTTCCTTCTTCCAAAGCTAGGTCTGATGAGGGAAAGAAATGGGTATGTACACTGGTTTGAAGGGCGTTTTGCTCAAGTATCCCTTGGTTTTTGGATGTTTTTGCTTGAAACTTGTTCCCCCATGTGTTGGAGACTCCCAGCAGCTCTGCATAGTGGATATTTTGGCTTTCATCGTGGCTTTTGTTTTTCAGCTAGGTGCTGGAAATTTGCAGATATTTTCTTGAGTTGTTTGGGCCTTCTAGGACAATAAGTTGGTTTATCAAGTAAATGGGTTAACTTCATCAATTGTTGGGCTATTTTGGTTGAAATGATGGGCTACTTTGGTTGAAATAATGGGCTATTTTTCTCTCTTGTGCTCACCCAGATGTTTGGGCCTATGAAATGGGCTTGAGTTTCGAGGCTCCCAAGCAACCCCGGGACTTCCATTTCTCTGCCCATCAATGGGCCTCATGTCAACTCATTACCATCCATACCACAACCCACTCAAGCAAGCCCTAGGCATCTTGCGTGGCTTGGGCCCACTTAAGCTTGTAGCATGGCGTGTTGCTTATTTGCTTAGCGTGGCATGTGTGCAAGTGCATATAATGAACTTTCGCAGGCCCAAATCGGGCAAGCTGTGGATTTTTTGGGCCTTAACATTGATTTATCTAATTTTTTGCAAGGATGATCTATGAATGTAGACTTAAAAATAGATGGTTTGGATCGTTGAAAAAAATTCATAGGGGGCCCTAAAGGGTGTCCCTCAAATAAAATTATTTGAGGGATCCCTTAATAGAAGCAGACTATATATATATATATATATATTAAACTATAGTTAACTCCACGTAATAAATACTAAAGAGAGACTAATTATAAAGCCTTACTAACCAATACTCTACCGATAAATCAATGAATGCAATTGGATGAGGCATTGACCATATTGGCTAACCAATTCATTTAGATGTCATATTCGTTGTTGACCATCAACACACATCAAGCCCGTCTGCCCAATAAAAACATAACACGTGGACCTTGGGCACCACGTCAAAAAATGACCAAATCGCCCTCTGTCTCAGCCTCGAAGCTACCTTGGGAAATTCGAAGGGATACGAATCAGCCATGTTGACGACAAGACCTCCTCTAACCACAAGTTCACCGCACCTCATAAAATATGCCCACGTCCTCTCAAACCGCCTAAGTCACCACCTGACCAGATGAGACTACTACTGCGTGTAACAGGCTACTCTGCCCACACCCACCCCCTAGTGAAAGTGTGAAGTTATCATGAGAAGAGGATGTGGATGAACCCCAACCGTCCACCACCTGACAACTTGGTGTGACATGGATGGCTCTGCTTCGAGCCGATGTGACCGGCTCGTAAATTATCTTGTTTAAACTCCTATAAATAGAACCTGTGATGTTTGTAAAAAGGAGATCTTCTTCCTCTCTTTTAGGAAATCTTGGAAGAAGAATAATATACTAGGAATACACAGAAAACATTGTTCCTTATCCTTGTTTCTATCCCAATTCTTGTCAAGCTTCTCACCTATAAAATCGCATTAAGTATTTGTACATATGTTAGCCACAAGAATATTTGTGGGCTAAACATTCTTTAGATTAAACCATGACCACAAACAATTACAAACCAACGTCATTGAAACCAAGTGTGGGCATTTTAACTGTAGAATTGATTAACTAGGTTGAATCGTGCTGCAAAAATATGTATTGATTATAAAATCGGTATCCCAACCGATCCCGTTTGATATGAGAAATATCACAAAATTTATGGGCTGACTAAGTTCACGGTTTTACATTTTACATATTCCTGACTGGATTGGACATGATCAAGAGTGGTGTAAAACATGTTGCACTAGATTTGTTTCAAGCCATCTCAACTTTCCCAACCCTAATGCCTCAATTTCTTTCTCAGTCGCCATCTTCCTAATCTCTATTTGGCTTAGTTCATCTATTCCTCATCTCTATCTCTCTCGCCTATGGTCTTTGTTTGGTAAATCTCCAAGACTAGCCATCATGATCTAAGCCTCACTTTCGCAATCCTTCATCCACATCGACAAAACAAACAAAATTGAACCAGACTGAGCCTACCAAATTCGACCCATTTTACTTCAGCTACCACCATCAGAGCAAGTCCACCCCAAAAGGCTAAGACTAAGGCAAGGGCTGCTACTATTCACGTGAATAGCGGCAGCCTTGCCATTTGTGGTTCCACCCCAAAAGGCTAAGGTTAAGGTAATTACTATTCATTGTACTTTATTTCCTAATTTTTTATACTTTAAACCATTAATTTTGATAATCTTTTGTAATTAAATTTTCGGATAAGATTTTTGGTTGCCACGTGTCCATCATTTTTCAGAAAAGATTTTCGGATGAGAATCTCGGTTGCCACGTGTCTTATTCAAGATAAAATTTTCAGATATTCATTAAAAAATTATAATATCATATTTCAGATAAGATTTTCACCCTCTAAAATTGTGCCACGTGTCCCATGTCAGATAAGATTTTAAGATATTTTAAAAAAATTATAATCTCAGATTTCAGATAAGATTTTCACCCTCTAAAATTGTGTCATGTGTCCTATGTCAGATAAGATTTTTAGATATTTTTAAAAAATTATAATCTCGGATTTCAGATAAGATTTTCACCCTCTAAAATTGTGCCACGTGTCATCTCTATCTTCTGAATCCATCTATAAAACAACACCATCAACTCATACCTCTCATGCCATCTCTTATCTATTCCTTCATTTCTCAGATTTTACAAAACACATTCTACTCTCAATGTCAAATTTGAGGAGGGTGTTGGAGAGGCAACAGAAAGAAGAAGAAGAAATCTAGCGCAGACGTGCTGATGAAGATCGGGAGGCCGATGAAGAAGAGGAAGAAGTGCTTGCAGCAGTGGTGTGTATGCTTAATCAATCAAGGCAACACCGCTGTCGTCGTGCCCCGAATGTGGACAGACGTAGGGAGTCTCGAGGTAAGAATCTCTTGGAAGATTACTTTATCCCAAATTCGTTATATCCTGTTTCTAAGTTTCAAGAGAGATATAGAATGCAGCCACATTTGTTCCAAAAAATCATGCATGATATTTGTAATTACGACACATACTTCACTCAAAAGTATGTTGCTGTTGAAGTTTTGGGTCTTTTCCCAGAGCAAAAACTTACAGCTGCTTTGCGGATGCTTGCTTATGGGGCATCTACAGAGCAGGTGGATGAGATTGTAAGGATGGGAAAATCAACTATCCTAGAGTGCTTGGTGAGATTCTGTGATGCAGTGGAAAATTTGTACACGAGGGAGTACCTTCGCAAACCCACACCGAGGGACCTGCAAAGGCTTCTACAAAAAGTTGAGGCTCGAGATTTCCCAGGAATGATTGGAAGCATCGATTGCATGTACTAGCAGTGGAAGAATTGTCCTACTTCTTGGCAAAGAGACTACGGGAATCGGAAGGGCCAAAAAAGTATAATTTTGGAGGCCGTAGCTTCCTTCAACTGTTGGGTTTGGCATGCCTTCTTCGGGGTTGTCGGATCTCAAAATGACCTCAATGTCCTTGGTCAATCCTCGGTGTTCGACAAGGTATTGCAAGGTCATTCCCCCCAGATCACGTACCAAATCAACAATACCGTATACTTTGGTGCGTACTACCTTGCCGACAAAATTTATCCTAGGTGGACGACATTCGTGAAAACAATTCTAAATCCCCAATCCGAGAAGGAAACAAGCTTTGCTGCCTTTCAAAAAGGTTACAGGAAAGACGTGGAAAGGTGTTTCGGTATCTTGCAATTATTAGGGTTGATGCTTGGATGCTAGATGAGGAGGTGCTGCGGAGCATTATGATGACTTGCATCATCCTCCACAACATGATTGTGGAGGATGAGTATGATTATGATGCTCTAGAGGTGTTTGAACTCGATCCTATGAACACGGCGTTGACAAGAATATATGAAAGGCCGATGGGACCAAATGGACAAGCAATGGAGCCTGAATCGTTAATTCAGGATGGTCGATACAACAACCCCATGATTGATCGTTATCAAGAAATGTAATCTTCATATGTTCACGAGAGACGTCAAGTTGACTTGATTGAGTACTTGTGGGAGATGAAAGGCAATCACAGTGGATGAAGTCAAGATTAGTGCTTTGTTTGGAATTATGCTTTGCTTTTAATTATGCATTATTTTGTGTGTGGTGTTTTTTGGAATTATGCTTTTTTTTAATTTTTTATTATGCTTTTTAAGTATGGCTTGTTTTGTGTATTGTTTGCAATAAATTAAGGTTTGTTTTTAATTAATCTTTGTTTTGATGCGCAAATGTTTTTAATAAATAGTCATTATTTAATGCTTTCTTTATTGAATAAAAAGGAAACAGTACAACAAATTAATACATATGGCAAATCTTTCAATACAACCTAATGGTTTTGATCATTTAACCAATCCGTATTGCTAGGTCCGTCGTCATGGAAAAGTTTTCTTCTCATCACATCCCTTCGTCTTAGCTTCCAATAGGCCTTTGTTTCAGGAGACATATCGCTCGTATCCATGGTCATGATTTTCATCTCTCTATCCTCTATGCCTTTTTCTTATGCTTGCTGCTGTTGAATTGCAAATGTTTCCTGTCGTGCCATGTTCGCTTCTTCTCTTTTCAAGTCTCTCTCAATTCTTAGTGCGTTGTTCTTAGCTATTTGCTCCAAAAATTGTACACATTCATTGTTCGAAGTGCTCCCTCTCTTGGCCTTTGCCACCTTTCTCCCAATAGGTCTCGGCGGATGTGGGAGTGGTGACTCCGTTTCCATTGGGGAGTCCAATGGCGAATTAGTTGATGGCGAATCGTGGAGTGGCGTCTCATTCAACACAACCGCCGGACCTGTGGGAATAATTTTGAATCTCGAACAATCCTTCACAACTTCCCAACATTCGTGATGCAAGAAACTTTTTTTGCCTTGGCCCATGGCACCGAAGCAAACTTGTGCTTGTATGATCTATTAAAAATAAATAATTGGAAGTGCAAGAAAATAAAAAGATTATGCAAGAAAACATAAACAATTTTGAAATGCAAGAAAAAAAAATGATTATGCAAGAAAATATAGACAATTTGGAAATGCAAAATAAATAAATAAATATTATGCAAGAAAAAGAAAAAGAATATACAATAAAAAAAGTTACACTAAATTGATTAAAATGGCAATTATAAATATTTTACCTCATCGGATAGATTTTGACTGCTTCGAATGTTCTCCCTTGCTTTTGTAAACGCATTTCTCCATTTCCCTAACTCTCTATTCATAATTTTCCATCTACTAGACAACGCCATTTCGGTCCGAATGGAACCCGATCTTTGACAAAATTCTCCATGAATTTTGCTCCACATATGAGAGAACTTCATCTCATTGCCTGTGACAGGGCAATGACTAACGTTCAGCCAAGACTGACACAACGCAATATCTTCTTGAGTTGTCCACGCGCCTCCAGCTTTGACAAAAGATGCCATTTGTTTTTTATACAAATGAAAAGTAATAGAAAAATGTGAGTGGAAAGTAAAAAATATTGGAAGAAGAAGAGTTTGTATGAAGATTTGGTGTGGAAAGTGAATAATGTGAGTGGACAGTAAAAAATATTGGAAGGAGAAGAAATTGTATGAAGATTTGGTGTGGAAAGTGAATAAAATTGTTAGGTATCTATAGGAAAAAAAATCCAGAATTTTTTGGTATTTTTTTAAAAAAATGTCAGAATTTTTTTAGCCAAAAAAAGAGGACCGTCGGATTTCTGGAAAAAAACAAAATGATCGAAGCGTCCGGGTTGCGACACGTGGCGTTTTCCCATTGGATTCTGTCAGGGATGACGTCAGCGGTGACGTCAGTGGTGACGTCGAGCTGACGTCATTGAGCGGAAGTCAAATTTTTTTACCGTTGGCGCGTGAAACTCACGAGCCAACAGTAAAAAAAAATTCAAATTTTGCTCGTTGACATCAGCGTGACATCACTGCTGACGTCAGCGCCTTCGGGCTGAAGCCCAGGCAAGATCTGCCCTTGGGCTTGCCCTGGCAAAAGGCCATGCGCTGGAGGTGGCCTCACAACATGGGAAAACTGGCCTTATCTTCCTTTATGATATGATTTATCGAATTAGTATATGGGGCGAACCAAATTGAATGATGCACCTATATAATTGAATCGGCAAGCTAGACATCATAATCACTATTACTCAATGAGATATTACTATTATTCCAATCAAAGGACATATTCTATCTTGCAATACTGTGTCGCATCACTCTATCCTTAAGTTCAAGAAGTATCAACCTGGGAGTACAAAGCTAGTTTACATAGACTAAGATTGAAACATGCGGCTAAGAATTAGAAGCTCGTCACACTTAGTATAAAGATGAAAAGGTCAATCACATTTTGCACCCTTATGGTTTAGGGCTTATAACATGTTGTCTTTTGAAAAATTGATAAATAAAAAATGCGTAAAGTTACAAATTGTCACACCACTGACACTATCAAGTTAATTGTTATTTTTTTTTAAGGTTTTTTAGGTTTTAGACATAAAAAAAATTTCACTTTTGGAAAAAGCCAAAGCTTTTTCAAAAAAGACAAAAAAACCGCTCAACTTTCAAATCAAAGACATGCAAATGTATTGGATTCCTTAGGAAATCTAAAAATAAATAAGAGCATTTTTGTCCATTTTTGCTTCTTTTAAAATTTTTCTCTCTCCTTTTGTTTTTTCCAAAATGTCCCTTTTTTTTATTGGACACTTGGTAGGCCTATTTTCACTTACATAGATGCTTGATTGCCGTTACGTCTGCCATTATTCATCTATCTTTAAATCTACAAGGTATGATTTTTTTTTAAAAAAAAATTTATATTTGTTGACATGAGTTAACTCATGTCCCAACTGAGTGCTACGTTAGGAAAAGAAGAAGAAGTTAATATGACGATTAAGCTAACAAAAGAGTCAATAGTGAAAGAATTCATAACTTAAGAAAATATCAATTTTTTTTTAAATATAGACCAAACTCATTGAGTTCAAACTAGCTGGACTGGTAAATTTAAGGGAGTTTCACTAAAACACCCAAAATGGAGGTTGAAATTATAAAAAAACCCAATACCCAAAACACTTTATAAACACACCCAAAACCCATCATTACACACACTCAAAACCCATTTATAAACACACCCAAAAAGTTGACTTTGGGGTTGATTTTGGGTGTGTTTCTATGTTTAAATAGTGTGTGGGTTTTTTTATAAATACATGTCTAGGATTGGGTTTATTTATAAATTTGTATAAATTTAAACCAAGGACCTAGGAGGAGAGTTAGAACAAAAAGCGAAGAAACCCTAGGAGCCACCAACCCCTTTTGGGGTCGGTGGCTTCCCATCCCCCCTTCCCTTATACTCCTCCCTCCCTTTCTCCTTGCCCTGTTTTCCTCTAGCTCTGATCCAGTCGATTTTCACAGCAAAGCATGTGGTAGAGGGTGGAGGAGAGTTAGAAAGAGAAGCTTCAAATCTAGGGGTTTATTCCTCGTTGGATTTTCTATATTTCCTATGCCTTGGCAGACCATGATGCTCTTTTCTTCTCTTGGGAGATCTAGTTGTCTCAGTTATGGATCAGGATGGCTTTGGTTGCGCATCATTTGTAGGGCAAAGTGTTGCTACTCCTTTAGTTGGCGTTGTTGGTTTCTTAGGTTTGGTGTAGTTTGTTATTAAAGTCCAAAACCTCAATGAGTTGTTTGGTTTTCTCTTGTAATTCCCAGAAATTTTGTTGATTGTGCTGGGTGGGTGAGTTTCTCTAGGAGAGTTATGCAGGTTAGCTGCTAGGTTTTGCCCTTGATGTAAATGACTTGATCTAGGACAACTTAGATGGTAGATAGGGGTTTTTATACAAGTTCTTTGTGATTTATTCTCTCAAGATCATTTCAGCTCTATAACTGACTCTGGTCATTGGGGAAGCTTTATCCATGTCCATCATATTACTAATTGAAATGACTCTCTATATACTTTTTCAATTAATCTAATAAAATATTATCGTTTGTTTGGTATAAAAAAAATTATATAAAAAGAAAAAAGAAAAAAAAGGAGCTGGATGGAAGGTGTAATTAACCCACTATTAAATGTAAAGAGGAAGAACCGAAGGGCTCTGTAGTCATAAAAGGATTTTTGAATTTCAAAAATAATCCATGATGACAAGGCATTTGGATTCCGTCACATTTTGTTGTGGTTGACAGAAGGAAAACTGAAAGGCATCAAATGTGTAAGGAAAGGAAAGGATGAGATTGTAAAAATTAATTACTTATTACCTTTTATTTTGTTTTGCTATATCAATTTCCTGCAGAGTACAAAGAATTCAAAAGAAACCCTTCTTGAGTCTTTTATTATAATTAAGGGAAAAGAAAAAAAAGAAAACTTGCTGTCTTAACAAAAAATTGAAAAAGAAAAAGAAAATACCACATAAAACAAAAAGATTTAAACAGAGGATTTGGGCCCCACCTGAATACGGGTCCCCCAATCCAAAATGTACAATGTACTTGGTGAAGAGCCCTAGCTTCTCTACCAGTGAAAAACTAGAACGTACATACGTCCACCACCATTTCTCTGACCAACCAAAGTCTCTCTCTCCTCCTCTCTCTCTCTGGGCCCTCCTTCTCCGTCCATTAAACCTCAGCACAGCGAGAGCAACCGACTAAATATAAAACAACCCAAAACAAAACAGTCGTTTGCTGTTTGCTGTTTGCTGTTTTGTGTTTTTCTCTCGAGTTTGAAAACAACAATGGCGGCAGACTATGGTGGAGGTGTTCGTGCAATTTCTCTCTCGCAAGGCGGCAGAAACTCCGATGACGACGACGGCTCCTCCGAGCATAGCCCCCGGAGCGCGAGTGGGGGCGTCGTCGTTGTGGGAGGCGGCTCTTCCTCGTCCAAGTCAAAGTTTGTGTCACCGTCAGGTGAGATTATCATGTCGAAGAAGCCGAGAGGAAGGCCGCCGGGTTCGAAGAACAAGCCCAAGCCCCCCATAGTCATCACCAAAGACTCCGAGGTCGCCATGAAGCCCGTCGTCCTCGAGATCTCCGCTGGCTCTGACGTCATCGAAGCCATCATCCAGTACGCCCGAAGGCGCCACGTGGGCATCAGCATCTTGAGCGGTTCGGGAGCGGTCTCCAACGTTACCCTTGTACACCCAGCTGGGCTACACCACCACCCTAGCGCACCCTCTCTGCTGTCTCTTCTTCACGGGCCCTTCAACCTCCTCTCCCTCTCCGGCTCCTTCATGGACGCCGTCCCAGCAGCCGCCACGTGCCCTTCCTCGGCTTCCTCGAAGGTGGCCACGTCAGCTGGGGGCTGTTCTTTGCTGGGTAGCGGGTCGTTTGGGATATGCCTGGCTGGGGCGCAGGGGCAGGTGTTTGGAGGGATTGTCGGAGGGAAGGTGGTGGCGGCGAGCGCTGTGGTGGTTGTGGGTGCCACCTTTGTGAATCCGACGGTACTGAGGCTGCCTCTGCCTGGTGATGATCACGATGATCATGAACATGGTGTTGAGGGTGGGGCTCCTGCTGCTGAGTATGAAGCTCAGGAGACGAAGCCTTGCGTTAATGTTGAGAGTCATTGTAGTGCTTACGGCGGCGGCGGCGGCGGCGTTGCGAGCTCGACGCCTATGAATTGCCAGATCACAAGTGTTCCCGATCAAGTCATGCCTTGGGGTCCTCCCTCTCGCCCTCCTTACTAATTACTAGTCATAAGAATATTATTTATTAATATTAATTTGGCTTTGGGGATGAAGCAACAAAATTATATTAATTGCAGCTACCATTTTCTCTTGCTTTTTCATTCATCTGATCCTGTTTTAACCAACGTAGCTTAATTAAGCTAAGCTGTATGATTAATTATTAATCTCTGTTTTAATAGTGGTGGTGGATCTGGTCCTGGTCCTATGCCTGGCAAGCTAGGCTAAGCGAAGCTACTAGTGTTCGTACTGTTTGTGCAGCCACTGAATGTTATGTCAGGGCCCCTCCTCGTGAAGGGCCTATTTTACCTTCTCCAATGAACAAGGCATCATTGCAGAATAGACACCACATACACTGTTTCACTGTTACGCACACACAACTTTGTTTTTTTCTTTTTTTTTCCTTTCCGCTCAACTTCACACACACACACACATCTTCAAACTAAAGACTTAAGACTCTGGTTGTGTTTCAAATCGACATTTTCTTTACATTATTTTGTCAACTGGTGGTCAGCTAAACTAAAACCCAAAAAAACACACAGAGAGAGAGATGGTGGTTTGGTTTCATTCATTCATGATGGTGGTTTGGTTACTAGGCGCCCCTGAGCTAAAGAATGTTCCTCCTTTTTAGAACCACATTTTAGATTTTCACTTTTTTTCATTCCAGTCTTGTTACCTTCTGGTCCAGTCTAAGTCTACAAGTACCTTAGCTGTATTTGCCATTTCCAGACTGCTTTTGCTTTGTAAAAATTTTTAATTTGTCATCCACGGGGCACAAGTGGATGTAAAAGGAGGGTAGAAGAATGCCTCACCTTTTTGAGGTACGCCTCAACTTGTTAGTGATGGGAGATGCTACAATGAGAGGGATTTGGGAAGGGTTTAATCCAACCATCCAATTATTAAAATAGTTTTTCTTATGTTTTGGTTGAGAAATCATTAAAAAAAGTTTAAGTCCAATATTTTCTCTGTCCTATTGATAACACCTGTCAGAAGGGCAAACTAGGATAAAGAATAATAATAAGATAAAAGTGTAGCACAACACATCCTCATTCAGCAAAAGCTTTTTCCCATTGCACTTTGGACCAATACATCAAAAACTTTTTAATTTAGCGTCGGCATCTTAATAATTTATGTTTTGTATTATTATTTGCTTCTCCAACTAATAAATATGTAAAACAATGCAACAAGGCACGAGGGTGTTGTTTGACCAATGAAAAAAAAAAAAAAAAAAAAAAAAAAAAAAAAAAAAAAAAAAAAAAACACTTCAGTTCTGCTAGCAGTACAAAGTTTTCTGCAATATCCCTATGAGTTCTTAGGTTCGTAGTTCTCTTTTAAGTCTATCACGTAGCCAAGCAAGTTAGCCTATTCCTAGTTCTTAGCAAATTTCATGCCTCAATAGTCCAAAAGCAAGGCTTCACATCCAAAACAATGATTGTATTATATTTGAACACCTTGAATCTCTCTTCATAAAATGGTAAGATCGGTCTCTGAATCCACAGGTCTTCGAGTTCGAGCAGCCTACAATTGTTGAAGTCGTCGTGCTCCACTCCAGCGTGTACCATAACTCACATCACGTTCATGAAGAGACATCCAGGTTCGAAGAATTTGATATCATAGCCTGAATTATTGTGAGAACCTTTTATTAAAAAAAATTATATATTATTATTTTAAAGAAATATTCATACTACATATTAATTATTTATTAATATGGCTTTTCCTTATTTAATATTTATTGTGAAAATCTATATGTTATTAAATTTTAAGCCTAGTATGAGATTATTCTTTTAGGTGATAGATGACACCATTCTTGTTTTCCACGTATAGAGACTTGGAATTGGTCTTAATCAAATCATCATTACCTTGCCACCTTGCATGCTAGTAAAAAGTGGTGTTGTGGTATCATTGGTGGAAATGAATGAGTCACATTTTCTCTTCTGATATCATTGGCCAAAGGGGGATGAGTCACATTATTTACTTAGTTTTCTCTCTTATCTTTTGGTGGTTTAGAATATTATATATATAAATATTATTTGGTTGCACCCGTAGCCTCTCCTATAAGTATCATCCTTCCTTACTTTCAATCATCAATAATCCATTCCAACTCTTCATAATAGAATTATGAAGTAGTGTTTGAGAGAGAGAGAGAGAGAGAGGAGAGAGAGAGAGAGAGAGAGAGAGAGAGAGAGAGAGAGAGAGGAGAGAGAGAGAAACAAGAGGAGGGAGAACGTGTGGGTTTGTCTTGCAAGATTTTATAATTATAATTGTCATGGTGAGTGGGTTATGTAATGTGTTTTAAAAGTTCTTATTTGTGATAAATGTGAAAATCATGGATCATCATGGATTTATTCTATTTACAAATCTCTCTCTATTTTCAAGTCAAGCATGTCTAATTTGTGCAATATTTCCCACAATATATATTATCTGGATCTTTTGTGAAGTACATACTATTCATGGAACATGAGAACTTCAGTGACATGGTATTCGAAGGATAAATGTACTAGATGGGGACATAGGACAGTGAAGCCGATAAGGGTCACATGCTAGATACAATTTGTGAAGGATAACCAAGATATGAAGTAATGATGTGATATGATTTGGATTGTGTATCTTTTTATTATATTTTCTATAGTGTGTAAAATGGCATTGTTTGCCTGACATATTACATAATCTATTCACTGAGTGGTGGTTTGCTCATTTCTCACCTATTTTATTTTTCACATCAATTAGGATATCTTATTAGACTCTGGATAGGAGTAAATAGTCTATGTCAGTTGTTTGGTGTCAGCTTATATTATTTAATTACCTGACTATGTTAAACGGACTAAGCTTGTAATACTCTCCTTATCTGACTAATTAATACAACCCACACACCCCGGTTTAGATAATACATGCTTAATTATAAGAAGAAAACATGCTTTCTACATGAAAAATCATACACTCTTTTCATCTTCTTCTCCCTAGGGTTCTTCTCTGCTATCTCATCAACATCTTATTCTCTTCACTCTTCTCTAGGTATCCATCTCTCAATGATTCTTCTTGCTTCTTCTCTCTTCTTTTGTCTTCATCTTCTATTTCTTTATATATAACAAACTAACCCACCAAACCAAATCATACCCAACAAATTAAAGACTCAAATTAAGGGGAGAGAATCAGGTAGGTCATTCTAGGTTGTAGAGGTTCAGTGAAGGTAGATTGGGGGGGGTGTGGTGTAGCTAGTTTGATGATATGGTTTCCTTATCTCTTTTTTGCGGTCAAATTTAGGCTTCAAATTGATATGCATTCAATTAAACTTTATGTTGTTGTTGCCCAGATGTCTTCCCCCACCTCGCCCCTTTCTCCACTCTTGTCCTCTCTCCTCATAAAAAGAAAACTAGAAGAAAGATAAAAAATAATTAACGACATATATATGTTATAAGGGCAGGATGGGTGCTCGCCCATCCCAAAGTTTTTTTTTATAAATAAAAAAAAAAAAAAAAAAAAAAAAAAATATATATATATAGGTGTTTACCCATTTTGATTTTAATCTTGTGAAGGTAGGGTAAAGTTCCCCATTGGCTTGACAACCATTGGTGGTCAACAAGTCAACTTTCTTTTGTGCGTGAGCCTGCCACTGCTAGCAGTTCAAAACCCTTACTGACTTTTAAACAAGCGATTGTGAATTTGGGTGAGAAATATCTCCCAAGTAAGTTCTTTTTTTTTGCCTCAGACGAGTGAGGACTTCAAAATTTTTCACAGTACAAAATTGGTAGTTCTGACCAGAATAGATAAAAGGAAGACGAATTTTTAGGCAGAACTGCCTATTACAGGACTCAAAAACGAAATGGCGACTCCGAAACAAGACAACAGGATGTTGGACTTCAATTTTTGCCTGGATCACTGCCTTTAAACCGGGCTGGATTGGATGTGTCTGTGCTGGATTGGAACATCAACACTTTCAACTAATGAGTTTCAGTTGGAAATCGATACCAACTTTTGAGTTTGGCAGATCTGCAATTTATTTCAGGCCATGGAGGGCTTGCTGAATGGGCATAATTGAGGCTTCTTTAGTTTGGAGAAGGCAAAAGTGGCTGGATTGATGATCACTAAGCTGGAGCTGTACTATGGTGCCTGTTCTGCTTGACCAAGGCTTTTTGTAAATTTGTTGAGGTTTTCATATTTGTAAGAACCCGGACTCTGCTTGACTTGGCTTCGTGCTGAACCAAATTTGTAATGAGAGAAATCTCACTTTGTAAAACTGTTTCTCTAGGCTTGAACCGAAAACAGAGATTTAAGTTCTAGCTGCCTTGTTTCTTGTGGCTCAATGAGCTTTGGTTGCTTCAGTGCTTGAAGGCTTTTTGAGATTAATGGATCTCTTTGAGTTTGTCAATTGTGACTTTGAGAGTTTTTGTCTTGATTGATTTTTTGGCTGTCTTTTATTTGTTCACCCTCTCTCTTATTTATAGGAAATGCTAGAGTGGGGTTTTTAATCTTTGAATAATTGGCGGCAAATATTTTCAAAAAGATCTTTCTTTTTAAATGCCACAAAAAGGGGGAAGTTATCTATTCTAGCATAAAAGAACCATCAACAGTCAGTTCCCATAGTGGTCTTTTCCTTGCTTTTCCCCAAAAAAAGAAAATAAACTCCTCTGTTTGTTCCTTTGTAAAGAAGGAAAGACACAATCTACCATGATGGCCAGTTTGCTTTTTTTGTTTGAACAACCCCCCTGCTTCCCACTTATCTCTTTGAGAACGTAGTCTGCTTATCTCTTGAAAAGGTCACCTGCTTTGGTGCAGAATTTCTCCGCATATAAAAAGGGATTTTGATCTCTTTTGGTTGCAGAATTTTGGAGAAGTCTTCCTTTTATACCTGCCTTCATTAACTCTCTATCAACTCCTCTGTGATAATTGAAAATTTTGACTTTTTCAAAGTCAAGTAGTCACGTGGGGGCTTTTTGAGAAAAGATTTGCTGACTTGTCTCTTTTTGGGGTAGAGATCAAATGGTGTGAAAAAGGTTGTGTTGGTTTCTTTTAATTCTTTGTAGATAAAAAGCCCAAATGTTTTGTTCATGGGCCTTTTTGACAAAAATGGGCTGGGCATGCCGAGAATTGGCCCAAACTCAAGGTAAGCTTTGGTGGCTGCCAAAAATTGACATGGGCTTTTTAATTTTGGGTTGGGCGTGCCAAATTAGGCCCAAACATAAGGGCAACCCCAAATTTAAAAAATTAAAAGCTAACCTAATATACATACATGCACATCCAACTTCCAAGAGGAAGTGATCCCATATCTTTTGTCTCTTCTCTTTTTACACATCAGCTTGTTTATCTCTTCTATTTTATAGCGACTCGATGACATCAACATCTTTTTCCCCACTCTATTTGTTGCATCTTCCTGTTATCTTGGTTGGGCAGTGGGCAACCTGGCAATATCTGAAGGGAATATTGTGGGAATGGTGTTATGTAGAGATTTCTAAAAACTCTACAACCAAACTTTGAGAGCATAAATCACATAGCAAGCCATATCTAATATGAAATCAAAGTAAAAGCAGAAGCATTAAATAAACTAGGGTTTCATGCAAGTCTCATTTGGTCCCAATCTTTATAAGTCTATGAAAGTGTGCACCAAAGACTCTCTAATCCTATTTGAGAGAAAGATAAGATGTTGATACCCTTGGAGCGAATCTTGAAACCAAGAATGGTGTTCAAGTAGAGGGAGTGGTCCTTTTGTTGTTGGCTCTCCTTTGATGTTGATTCTCCACCTTGTAGCTCTTAAATAGGTGCAAAGATATGCACCTCCCCAAAGCTCTTCACCAAGGATTGAATGGGATGAGAGAATGAGTAGACAACAAGTAAAAAGTGGTGCTAGCACCCTCACTTGATGTGATAGATTGAAGGGTCGGGTCAACCGTTTGACCTTCAATTTATATCTTAATCCATGGACTTGTTACTTTGTGTACGTTATGTATCTAAAGCAACATTCTTGCCCATTTGATTATTATATATTACTTCCTTAGAATTATCCATTTTATATTGGCTTATAGGGCATATATCTAACAATATCTTCTCCTCTCCTTTCTACAACAACAAGTATTTTCTACATATCTTTAATTACAGTCTTAATTTAAAATTGAATATTCTAGGGTCTTAGAGATTAAATTATAATTTTGTGATTTTCTTGAAATTAATTAGGGCTTTGATTTTAGGAATTTTATTGAGATGTTTCAATGTTTGATTTGTTGTTTGTTGATATTGTTGAGATCCTATTATTATCAGAATTTGTTTGATTTTTTTTGGTATGTTTGATTTAAATTAGTTAAATTACATGTTATTCATAGGCTATCTTTTATTATGTCGAATCACAATTGGAATCCCAAGAGAACAAAAAACTTGTTCTCTTTTTTTAAGAAAAAGAATAATGGATCATCATCTAATACATTGCCTTCTAGCTCTTCTTTATCTATTCCAATATGTGATGAGCAAAATCTTCCCGAGTCTCCCATTATCAAGCCTTAAGTTGAAATAATTGAATCTCAAAGCGTCGATGATTATCATGATTTTAATATCAATTATCTTGAGCGTGATCTAGGATTACGTCATCTAATATGCAAATACGTCAGTTAGTATGTAAGTTCCGCCTAATTGGCTTTCCAATCCTGAATTCGCCACTACATACTATTTATCCATAATAGCACCAAATGCCTTATAATATTATAAATAAACAGTCAGTACTCTCCGGAACATAATAATACTATCCGACAAAAATTAGTCAGTACTATCCAACGTACCAAACTAGCCCTAAGGGCAAGACAAAGACTAAATCAGAGAAGTTGAATTAGTTGAGAGTGATAAAGTTTATTTATATCTTGTACACTTGTATGATTTTTATTATTTATAAGGGAAATGCATTTTAACCAAATTTTCAATCTTTTTATTTTATTTCGTTCTATTCATGCACCCTAATTCGGGAATATTCTTTATTTTTAAATCGGGGCGTGACAATTATCTTTGTTTAATATTGTTAAGTTAGTAAAGTAGCATTATAAGTAAAACTAATAGTTAATATTAAGATAAAGCAACTTGCCTGTTTGTATGTTTGGACCTTTGTGGACACCTATTAGAAGTAGAGGAAGATTACAACAAATTAGAAAATTTAAGGCTGCATACAAAGCATATATAATTTGGATAAATTACTCAAATGGTCATCAAACTTATACTTGATTTATATTTTGGTCTCTCAATTAAATTATTCATTCAAATAGTCCATCAACTCTATATTAATCGCTACATTGGTCCTACCGTTATATTCTGTCAATGTTGCGGTTAAATATGAGGGCAAATTGGTCATTTCATAAGTTAAAAGTAAATAAATATTGAAAAATGAAATAAAAACTCTCCTTGTCTCTCTCTCTCTCTCTCTCTCTCTCTCTCTCTCTCTCTCTCTCTCTCATTCTCTCTGTCTCCTTCTCTCTTTCTCCATTCCCCCATGACCACCACCTTAAGAACAATTTCATACATTCATCTCACAAAGCATATAGAGATCAAACTCCATATTACCATAATACGAATGGTCATATATAAAGCAAACTAGTGGTTATGTCATACAAACCATAAAACTATCTTCTAAAACATGAAGATAGCAAGTAAGTTCTTTATACATGCCAAAGATCAAATAAACTAAATAAATTTATAAGTTCTAAAAGATCTCCATAAACAAATAAAAGCTTGCTTGACGATTCCGAATCCCAGCAATCTTCATCTCTATAAGCTTCCTACGTGTTCTCTGTCTGTGCAACAACATGACCTACAATAGATCATTGTTTGTTAGACTCAAGTAAAGTATAAACATTTTCTTAGAACTTTAGTAACTAATTAAGCTGTACCTTCAGCTTGGTTGTCCTTCAGGCTAGCTAAGTAAGCCCGACAATTCCTTTTCCAGTGTCCGTCTTTCCCAAAATGGAAACACTGTCCTTTTGCCACTTTCCTTCTTCTTGTTTCTTCTTGATGCCTCCCTTGGGTTTGAGTTCAGTGTTCCATTTCTTTTTCTTGCTAGCATTGAATTTGCCTTTACCCTTATTACCAAGCTTAGCAGAAGAAGTTGAACCCTTCTTAAAAACAGCAATGGTCCCATTCCCTTCTTCTCTCTTGAAGGTCTTTTCAGCAGTCTCACATATGTTTAGCAGCTGTAAGAGAGTGTGCTCCATGTTCCCCCATGTTGTAGTTCATAACAAACTGGGAAAAGGAATAAAAAAGGGATGTAAGGAAGATATCGTTGGCCAAGTTGCGGTCCAATGGACTGTTAAGACTTTCCAGCTGCTCAATGAGCCCTATCATCTTCAATCCATGTTGGTGGACAAGGGCTCCCTTAACCATCCTGGTCTTCAAAAGCTCACATACAGCGCTGAAGCATCGGTTGCGTGTGCCTTCTCTATAAAGCTCTTGGAGATGGGATATTATCTCAGTAGCATGCATCATATGCTCATGCTGTTTCTGCAGCTCCTCATTCATGTTAGCCATAATGTAGCACTTGGCCTAACAGTCATCGTCCATGTGCTTGTCATTCTTAGCACGTACTTCCTAAGAAGTATCTTCAACAGTGGTTCTATGTCAAGAGCTTGCTCTAGTATGTGCACAATCTTCTCGATAGTCATGAATATCTTGAGATTGCGGTACCATGTTGGAAAGTTATGGCCCTCTAGACAATGTTTGTCCAGGAGTTTGGCGAATATGGATCCAGACATATCTACAAATACATATAGCTAAATGTTAGATTGATTTTAGATTTACCATTGACTCAGGTCTTTAAGTCAAAAGGTAATCCCCAATATTTTAGATTTATCTACAAATACATATAGCTAAATGTCAGATGGAATATGAGAGTTTTAGTTAAAACTCTTAATGGGATGGGAGGCTCTCTATTATCCAGATCACCACACCATAATAGGATCTGAGGATACTTCGGACAATAAAGAGAAGGCGCGCTCGCCTCTTCACATCTTGATGTGATTACCCACTTCATTCGGCCTCTAGCAAATGTGAACCCCCGAATGTTATCGTGAAGTCCCATTGTACTAGTTAAGTCTTAGCCCACCATGCTTGCTTAGTATACGAATCAAGCATGAATTGATCGTATTAGAATGTTGGCCTATGCTTGTTCCTACACCCACAACCCTATACCCACCGCACCCAATCCCTCCATCCACCAAAAGTTCCTCCAAACTTCTAGAACCATCATCCGAAGTTCCAGAACCTTCTCCTTCTTCCAACCCACATGCCAAGTTCACGCCTTTGGAGCAGCAAGTGGTGGACCTCAAGAAGAGGTACCCAAATGTCCTTTTGATGGTGGAAGTCGGTTACAAGTACCGGTTCTTCGGCCCATATGCCGAAATTGCTGCGAAGGTTTTGGGGATTTATGCCCATATGGATCACAATTTCTTGACTACTAGTGTGCCCACTTTCTGGTTGAATGTCCACGTTAGGAGGTTGGTGAGCGTTGGGTACAAGGTTGGCGTGGAGAGGTCTGTGGGGAATGAGGGAGAAGAAATCAAAAGGGGAGGGGGGCATGGGTTTGGGTTTCATGATTTTTTTTCTCTTTTTCTTCAATTATTTTTTCTTTCTAATTTTGTATTTATTTTAACCTTATTTTTATTTGTTAATTATTAAAAGTCACATTTACCCTAAACGATGGGACCAATGAACCAAATAATATAGAGTTGATGGACCATTTGAACGAATAATTTAGTTTAGGGACTAAAATGTAAATCAGGTATAAATTTGACGACCATTTGAGTAATTAACCCTATATAATTAAAAGGCTTAAAAGAACTACAACAAAAACCTAATATAGTTGATTATCCACAAAGAAAAGCAGAAGTTTATAAAAGTATAAGAAGAGTCTAGTATAATCTAGAAATTCTTACATAGTCTATAGAAGCATTTCAAAATCAATTAGCTATATTAAAAGAAAAATGAATAATTTAGTTATATGAATCGTCCTCCTTGTCCCTGTAGATAAAGACAATCATCATTACCAATTGTATATTGTCCTAAAATGACCAATAGGAGAAACGATTTGCGCAAAATGGAAAGATGATGAATCAATAGGAACTTGAGTTCAGCATGTTTGTGATATATTAAGAACGTAATGTAGCCATATAAAAGCAAGGAGACAAATTATAAAACAATTTTACATGAGTTGTAAAAATATAGATTTGTATAAGCAATATGGATGTCATGAGAAAGATAAGCATACAAAGCTATATATAAGGAGTTATAGGAAGTATAAATCATATAAGAAACATAAGAAGTTTAACATAAAACCATCAAAAACTTTTAGGATGTTTAACATAAAACCATCAAAACTTTTAGGAAAAGAAAATATATCCCTAAGCAGATTAGAAAGAGAATAAATAAACCTTGGATTAGAAGTAGGATAAAGAATATTCTTAAAGATAAAAGCAGCTATCAATGTTATCTATATGGAGAAGTTGGATACATTGGACCTTAATGTCCAAAGTTAGGTAAGCAACTAAGAGAACACATACAACTAGTACAGCATTTCCAATTAGAAGATGATTACTTGGAATCTATTCCAGTATGAGTTGTCATTATCTTTTGCTTTTGACTTATCTGCTATCTTGTTGAACAGTTTATCAAAAACTTGTTCTCCTTCTTGCTTATCCTGAAGCTGTACATTTCGACTAGTCTTTTGGATGTATACTGAGAGTAAATCTCTATAAAGTTGGACTGGTAAATGAGGTTTAGATGACCATCATTAAATCATTGATGCTCAGCTAATATTGCTCCTCTGTGTGTATTAATATCATGTTTGGTTGGAATATTTGTATCTAAAGACTCTGCTGAACTAAGCAACTCATCATGAGAAATAATTATTGTGTCATGCTCTATCTAGATAAAAATTATCTTTAAACCATTATGAAGGTATACTAGTGAAATCTAATTTTACATTTTTCCAAAGAGGGAGACAAAAATTTATTATGTCTTTTAGTTTAGAAGAAAATGAAGACAAGTGGTCACTACTTTCAACATAAAGCTAACTTAAATAACCATACTCCGGTAAGAATCATGGAGTGATTGAGAATGTTTTCTGTTTATGCTCTCAATGTAGTTCTCTATAATGAGAACAACTTTTGTTTGGGCCTAATTTCTGCGCACCAGCCAATCTAGATATTGGGCTATTTTTGACAAAACAGACTTGGGCTCTATTTACCAAAATTGGAGATTAGCCCAGGTCATTTCAAGAAGGGGGAGTTAAAATGAAACCAATTACCCGAATTAATTTTCACGAGATAGATTTTAATTACCACCAATGGTGATTTAATCTAAAAGCTCAGATTTAATTGGTTTAAATTTTTACCTAGTTTCCAGATTACATTTTTAAGTCTTGAGGTTTGATCATTGTAGGGGTCTTTTTGTTCCAGCAGCCTGACAAATGGGCTTGGGCTGCTGTAAGAAGAAAAAAGAAACAAAATTCCCCAAATGTCTAAGTTTGAAAAACCAAGCTCCCAAAAGAGTTTTTGAAAAGTTTGATGAAACTTTAGAAAAACACTCTTAGGTTCTTTTCACCAATAGCCAAATAAATATGATAAATTGATTAATGGCTTAGCTTGAGGAGCTTGTGGCACGGGAGCTAAGCTTTCACAAGTTTAGCAATTTGAGAGAGAGAGAAGCATGAATTTCCTGCAGAGAACAAGGGTTTGAAGTTGACAGAGGAAGATTAGAACGATTTCTATCCTAAGGGAAGAAGAAAACGAACGAAGAAGAAGGTTGGGTGGCTTGAGTAAATTCTCAGATGCTTGACAAAGCTTGGTCAGGCTCTGGATGATGATTTTGCTGGGTAGGAGAAGCTCCTTTTTATAGGCTGAAAGAGCCCTAATTTCATCTAACTTTTCTCTTGCCTTTTCATTGTTTCTTCCTACTTGATCTAATTCGAGATGCCTGGGTAAGGAGCCTCTTGTGGTTCCAAGGTTTTGACGCAGCTGGACCTCCCCATGAGGGTGAGGCGCCACTTGCTTTCCTTCTTGACTTTCCAAACAGAGCTTATAGTAGGAAATAAGATGGGTGGAGCCTTTTGTTCGACGGATATTCTTCCTACCTTCATGGATTTCCTTCGGTCCCTGCTATGGCTCCTTCATTTACTGTTCTTGGAGTTCTAACAAGGGTGAAACTTGGTGCCAGATTTTTATTTGTTGGGCTGGGCTTGTATGCACGGTATTGGGTTGTTGGCTTATTATTTCCAACGTTTTACAGGTTTTCGTCAAGCTACTGGAAATAGCATTATTAATTTTGGGCATTCTATTGATATGGACTGGTCTAAGTGTTATGGCAGGCTACTGGATGTCTTCCTAAGGCATTGGACCACTTTCCCTTTTTCTCTCATGCTAACCCATGTATTTGGGCTCTAGGAACGGGCTTGAGTTTTAATGCCCCCAAGTGGCTTAAAATTTTCGTTCCTCGAACCCTTAATGGGCCCCGTGATCACTTGTTCCTATCCATACCACAACCTTCTCAGCAAGTCCCAGGTAATTTTGTGGCTTGGGCCCACTTAAGCTTGTGGCATAGCTTGGCATTAGAATAGTGGTTCTTATGCTTGTGCTTGAGTTTTATTGTGCCGTGATAGGCTATAGTCGGGCCAAGTAACACCTAATAGGTAGGTGAGCGTGATTTTGTAAAGTTGGTGTGTTCTTGGCCCTTTTGCGCGTGCTTGCTTGGCATGACACGTGGCCCGTAGCTTGCATTAGTGCGTCCTACAAATCTTCATTTGTCTTGAAGAGGCTCCCTTTGTGTTCAATCATCTGTGTTGGGCCGAGAATAAATCTAGGCCTAACCCCTTGGATTTTTGGGCCTCAACAATCATCATCGTTGGTTACCGATTTAAAGCCAGATCAGCGACTCTAGAGGTAGAGGGGTTGAGTTTCTTTCCGCAACCAACGTGATTCCAATGACAAGACATCTATAGGAAACGGAGTGAGGACATTCAGGGGAGTTAGTAGAAAATTTGAAAGCAAAAACTACTCCCCATAACTTACAGGACCCGACCCAAGTTCCACTTTGGAATCTGCATTGAACCCTGTGCGTATCCAACACATGTCAGGTGCCGAAATCACTTGAACAAATTGCCCTTTAAACTAAAACTCAAAAATTCTTTCAAGGTTTGACTTCTACCAAAAAATGTTGTGTGGCCTCAGGCCTTACAGAAATCCTAGGGCAATATTAGAGCCTACTAATTAATAATTTAATTTACAAAATAATATGGTTACAGTAGGATATCCTACAAAATGGAAGTGGATGAGTGGTGGGTGATGAATGCTCGGTGGTGGTGCTCCGGTACTCGATTACTGCATGGGGGCGCAAAACATTAAAAGCGTCCATACATTCAATCCATGTTCTATATTCATAATAATATCATATCAACATAATAACCCCACTGTTAAAATTGAAAATTCATTTAATCCATGTTCTATATTCGTACAAAAATCAAGCATGCATATTTATATTCATACATTCAATCAATTAATCAAAACTATTTGAAAGCATTGAAAAATAATAATTCATTTCCACCTCGGTGTACCCTTCATAATCTCGTTAATTCCATGATTTTTCTATTTATTTCCCACATTATACTGTCAATTCCAAGTGTCACATAAGCGACACCTCCTTGCAGAACTCGGAAACACAAAGTTAACCCTAGCCATATTCCTCACAAAATTCAAGAGACACTTGGTGAACCTGAGCTGCATTCCTCGCTCCTCATGGTCTGGGTAACCCTAGGACTTGTGGGGCAACTGTCAAACGCAGGCTGACTCAACCGAAGGCAACTAGGATGTCCGTGGACATTATTATATCCAAAGGCAACAGTTTATTTGAAGGCAACATTTGGGGTATCTATGGTGATTTAAAAACCTTTGCTGGAAAATTATAACATTGTTTCTCACTCAATCCTTAAATCTTGTTACCATTTCATTTTCTACTTTCCAAGCCATTCATATTTAATCATTGTATTTTTATTTTTATAAAAGCCTTTGAATTCAAACTGTATGATTGGAAAGCAAAAACCATAAATAATTAATTCATGATCAATTAATAAAACTTTTACTGCATAAAATTCATTTATAAAACAAACGTCCACTCACTGTGCGTTTGAGCTATCCTGACCCTTCGAAGGTCTTTCCTGCAGGTTTGGTGGAGCATGAGCACTTATTTAAGCAATTAATACATTTAATTAATAAAATAGCTCAACCACAAATATTTAATCAAAACCCTGACCCGAGGTCTTAAAGTGCGTGTGCGTAACTTAAGAAAGTTCCTAGGCCCATTTTCAACAGTTTTAACAGTTGGAATGGTCTGAAAAGACCCAAGATTAAATATACGATTAAATTCTTATATTGGTCAACCCGGTCCCCTGCGGTGTCCAGGACCTCCGATTAATAACCCGAAAGTTCCTACGGGTTCAACAAAGTTTACTAAACACGTCCTGCAAGTTTGGTCTAGATTGAGTGGTCGGATTGCTCTCGATCGGACCATCAACGTTTTACGTAATCTTTGAATCATTGATTCGGAGTATCCGGGACTCCGATTTGGGATCCATGAGTTCCTACACGATCCTATAGGTTCCTATATCAACATACTTGAGGATGGAGTCCATCCAACAGTCCGAACATGTCAAACTCGGATAATGCCTAATATACGTAAATCCGTTTGATCATCAAACTATATCCAAATTCGAATCCGATCATACCATCATGCTCAAGACGACATGGGGAACATTTTGGAACCAAATGAGTGTGGCTTGAGAAAATTCTGGCGACCGGAAAATTCTCAAAACACCAGACAATACGTATACCTATGTCATCAGGACAACTAGTAGAGCAACTTTTGTTCTTTGGCCTTGACCAAAAATTGGCCGGAGCTTGTCGGAAATTCAAGACAAAAAAGGTCAAAACTTATATCGAAAATTGAGCTTTAAAACTTCAAAATCGATCCTAACCAATCCAACCATATAGATCACGTTGAATAGATGAAAAAGCATATCTGGATCGACAAATTTGGTGGCCGGAATCGTCGGAAACGACGACAAAAAATTCAGAGAAAATCCCGCGGTTTTCGTGCTGCTGCCGGTGACAGAGATGGCGATTGCTATGGAGAAGGAATGGGATGCGAAGAGGAAGGTGGGCCGGTTCTTTTGGGATTGGTCTCGTGGCCAACCGTCGCCGAAGGAGGGAGCTGCCGGCCAAAGAGTGGCTGGCGGGACTGTTTCGCACACGAGAGAGAGAGAGAGAGAGAGAGAGGAGAGAGAGAGAGAGAGAGAGAGAGAAGCTAGTTGGTTATTTAAATATCTGACTTTGCAATATTTACAGTTGGGCCACTACACTTCCGTTGATCGTAACTTCTTTGTTAAAACTCCAATTTGAGTCGATTACGTGTCTACGAACTCATATCGACTCGCTCTACGCAACGGTGTTACTCAAATCCCCAAATTCTCTCCTGAACACAAAGTCAATTTTAAACCCATTAAAATACTCTCGGGGTGACATTATCTTTTATTTGAATAATTTAAGAATTTAATATTAATATAGGAACGAGATATCACAATAACCATTAAATTCCAAAAAAACAGGCTGGATTTCCTTCCATACCCATGAACATTTCGTCAGTACTACATTTAATTCCAGTTTGCTAGGAACGGGCAAGAGGCATTCAGGGGAGTTGGTTAACAAAATGTCAAAAACTGATCACCATAGCTGAATCTTGATGTGTCAGAATGACTACTGCTCCCTCATTTGCTGGAGCTAACACTTCTCAACAAATATCCCCAGTTATTAAGAAATCATCATCATAAAGATTTCCTATAAATATAAGAGAATGTGAACTAGAGAGAGGACAGCAAAAAATCAAATCAAAACAAAAACTCTCAGTCATACTAACAAAAATCAAGCAAGATCGTATGATCTTAAAAGCCTTTAAACTCAGGAGCAATCAGGCTATCTAGCTTGTAAAAGCCATCCAGCTGTTCACCGTTTTGCGTTTACTCCTATGATGGAAGGGCAAAGTTCCCCACTGCCTTGAGAACCATAAATTGGTCAACAAGTCAGCTTTCTTTGGTGTGCGAGCGTGCCACTGCTAGCAAACATTTCTAGCAGACTTAGTTTGGAATGGATAACTTGCGTCCCAAGTTACTGATTTCTGCAAACAAGCGATTGTGAATTTGGGTGAGGAATATCTCCCAAGTAAGTTCTTTTCCTGCCTCAGACTGGTGAGGACTTTAACAATTTATCTCAGTATAAAGAGGTTGTCTTGGTCGGAATGGTTGATGGGATTTAAACTGTTTTTTAGGCGGAACTGCCTTTTACAAAAATATAACAATGAATGCTTATGCTAGAGAGAGATGAAGAGACAACTGGGACTTTATTTCTGTCGAGATGGAAGGTTCTGGTCTGGGCTGGACTGGAGATGCCCGGGCTGGACTGGAAACACTTGGGCTGGACTGAACCGTTGACAACCTTGACTGCTAAGCTTCAACTTGTAAATCGATACCAAAGGCTGATTCTGGCAGAGCTTCAATGTACCTCATGCTTTTGTGAAGCTTTTGAGTGGGCAAAACTGCAGTTTTCTCAGTCTGCACGGGCAGGAGTGACTGTTTTTTGGGGGCTTCAGTGGGCTAGAGACTGCACTGTGAATTTTGTTGAGGTTTTCCATATTTGGAGGAAGCTCGAACTCTTCCTGTTTTGGTTTTTTGCTGAACCAAATTTGTAACGAGAGAAATCTCGTTTTGAATGACTTGCTTCTGACTTGCTTCTTGCTTCTTGTGTAAGATCTTTGTTTGATTGGATGATGAATTTTTTGTGTGTCTTACCCTGTTCACTCCTTCTTGTATTTATAGTGAAAATTAATAATGGGCGGCAAATCTCTTTCAGAAGATATCTCCCCATTTTTTCTCTTTTTAAAATGGAAAGAAAGAAAGTAGGATTTTATCAGTTTTGGCAGATAGGCTTTCAAAAAATAGGCAATCACTTCCCTGTTTTTCTTGAGAAAGAACCTAATCTCTTTTCTAAATTTCAACTGCCCCTTGTGTGATTTCACCCGTGATGGTTAGTTTGATTTCTTTTCTGGACAGCTCCCTACTTTCCTGCTTATCTCTCTCTGAGCTTGTAGCTTGCTTATCTTTTTGGGAGAATTACCCTCTCTGTAGAGTAGAAAAAATCTCTGATTAATATATATATATATATATATGTATATGTAAGAGGGATTTTTATCTTCTGATTTTTTCAAGGTTTTTTCAGAACAGCTTGATGATATAAACTTTTCAATCACTTCTCTCATGACAGTTGCCATTGTTGACTTTTCTTCATCCCAGAGATGTCACGTGGGATTGTTTCCTATCTCTGGGCTCCCCCCTTTTCATCACAATGGGGCTGTGAGGCCCAGGTTTTGGGCTGGGTTTTTCTTAGATTTTGGGCCTCATTTTCGCTGGGCTGGGTGTGTCAATTTTTAGGCCCAAACAATGCCCCCTTAAGTCTGAATCTTTTTTTTGGAACGGTTTCAGACTTAAATGACATGGCCATTAAATTGGCGCGTGGTAAATTCCTCCGTTATCCCACGTCTGCCACGCTTTCCCACTAAGTTAGTGCCTGTGTGGAGCAGTTTTTAGTTACTAGCCCTTTATTAGCTAGTCAATGTCAGATGACGCTTTGTCTTCTCCACGTCGCTGTGTTCTCTTTCCCACGTTTTCTGGCTTCTTTAAAAGACTTTCAAAAAAACCACTGTTCCTGTTCACCTGAAAACCTAGTACTTTCAAACTTCGTTTCCCCTGAGCTTTTCTTTCGATAATTCCCTTTGCTAAAAAGAAACCTGCCTTGCCTATCGTGACACCTCCCTTTCAGGAAAATAATTCCGAGAAATGTCTTCCCCGAAATCTCGTGCTCAATCTTCCTCTGTTTCAGTTCTTCCAGATTACATTACTGGGGCTGGGATTGATAAGCATGCGATAGAGGTTAGGAGCAAGCTCCATCCTTTTGCCCAGAAAAACCTAGACGAAAATGTCCTCCATTTGTTCGAAAACACCTTGGTGCTGGGGCCTCACTGGTTTGGTCCCGTTCCTCCCGAGATGGCAGAGCTGATGAAGAAGGATGCTGAGGCCCCTCTATGTTTCGAGAGTTCTTCTGCTCTGGCTTCTCACTCCTGGGTTAGCAAGAATTTGAGCCGTTTGTTCCCATCTAGTGAAGTGAGAAACAGTTCAGTCAAGTGGGCTGATTGGATTGACAGACTTCTTCCCCGATTTGGGGCTCACTGGAGGCGGGCTGGAATTTATGACGCCATACTCCTATCCAGGCAATCTATCAACAGGGATGAGAACCTGCTTGCTGCTGCTCTGTGTTTCTGGAATTCTGCCAGTAACACTTTCGATTTTCGTATAGGCCCCATGGCTCCAACTCTGCTGGATATGGCTCAGATTTTTGGTTTTAGGCCTCATGGAAGACCTGTTGATGCTGTTGGTGATTATCACAGGAAGAAGGACCAGCAGAAGCTAGCCAAGCCATTCAACATTTCCCCAGCCCTGATCAACCAGAATTGCTCCTTCTCCAATTATCTCAGAAAATTTAGTGCTGAGAAGGACAAAGATCAGCAGCATATGTTGTTTCTCCTGTATTGGCTGAACAGGTTTATTCTGCCCAATCGTTCTTCTGCAGTTCTGCTTGAGTATAGACATCTGGCAGAAGCTCTGCATAATCACACTGATGTTGGACTTGGGCCTACAGTTCTGGCCCATCTATTCAAGAACCTGCATACTGCCACCCTGGAGTATCCGCTAAATCTGTCTGCTCCTGGTGCCTTCTGGATGATTCAGATCTGGCTGCAGGTCTATTTTCCTGAGTTAAGGTTTCCAGATATAGTTCTGCCTGAGGATCAGGTTCTGGCTCAACCATTGTTGTCGGCAGAAGTCCCCAAGAGGTCAATTGATGAGTACCTGATGATCTTCAGGCATTGTACCAAGAGGTCTGCAGCGCAGTGGCAAGTGGTGATCAGGAGAACCTATCCTTGGTTTCAACCTGGACATCGTCTGTTTGAGAAGGAGCCAGAAGAAGAATCTGCCAGAACTGATTTCAGGAAGAAGTTCCTGAGTGTGACCTTACCCAGAGATCTGCCTCACGGAGGAGGAAAGCCTCCAAATTATCATTTAGGGGCGGAAGTCTACCATCCCAACTTCTGTGCAAGGCAGCTTGGCTGCCCTCAGTTCATACCCCTCAAGTCATACAGAAGCTGCAATCGGGGCTCTTCTTGGAGGGATGCAGATGACTTGGAGGTCCACAAAGATGCCAGGTGTGCAGTGAATAAGATCAACAATAGTGCAGATGCCCTTTATCCTTCATGGGAATTGAACTCCTGCAGTTCTGCGGAGTTTGATGCTTGGTGGAAAGCCAGATTCCGTGACCTGCCTGCACGGATGACGATCTGAGAGAGGCTTTCGAAGCTGTGGAGCAAGAAAAGGAGCTGGAAGAGCTAGAAGAAGTAGGAGAGGGGCCTCAAGAAAAGGCCAAGACAGTGGAAGAAGAGATGAGTCTATATATATATTTGGGAGTATTTGTTCCTGCTGCACTTTTATTTCTTCTGTTCTGACTTCTGTGCATCTGTAGGAGGAAATCCCTGCTGAGGTGATAGCAGAGAGCATTGCCTTGGCTCGGAAGCAGCAGGAAGATATAGGGACAAGGCTAACTAACTCAGAGGTGGCCCTCTTTGATGATCCAGAGGCGGAACATTCTACTGCTGCTCCAGCAGCTGAGGACCAAGCGGAACAATCCGGATCAGAGCCTGGGGAGCAGGCAGAACAAGTGGTTCCTGCTCTTGAAACCGTAGTAGAAGTAGCTGCTGCCGTTCCTGGGTTTATGGTGAGTTCTGCCCTTACTCTGTCTTTTCCTATCTTATGTGGTTTTGTTCTGTTCCTTTGTCTCTCTGACCCTCAAATCTTTTACAGGTAGAAATACAAAAAGCTGCTGGGACCTTGGCGGTGAGGACCACCCCTTTGCAGCCTCCGATTGTTGCTGTGAGTGTTTTTGTACTTTTGTCTTCTTCTTTTCTGTCTCTGCCTTGTTTTTGACTTATGCTTCCTTCTGCAGATGCCTATTCATTCCCTTGCAGGTTCATCTGCCAAGGCCTCTTTTGCTGACCCGGAGCTGGCAGAATTTGAAGCCATGGACCTAGATGCCCAGCTAGACAAGTTGGAAAAGCTCAACTCCCCTGTAGGCAAGATAAGGTCCAGGGCAGTGGAAGAAGCAATGGAGAGACTGAAGATCTGGCAGTCCACTGAACTGGAGCTGGATGAGGGCAGGGAGGCCTTTGACCAGCTGATGAAGGATCTGGATCTGCTGCACAGACAGAACATGGCCCCAAAACCTATACTCGAGATGAGCCTTGTCTTGGCGAGGGATGTGCTCAACCTTCACGACCGTTATGAAGATCTGAGGCCCACCTTTAAAACCTCTGAGTTCTGCAAGGCCACTCATGAAGCCAACTTGGTTGATTTTGCAAAGCAGAAAGCAGAACTGGACCAGATGGTTGTGGGGTATAAAGAAGCCAAAGCTACTGCGGATAAATTGGAGAAACAGATTGCGGAGCTTCAAAAACAGCTGGCAGAGCGCCGGGAAGTGCAGCACAGGCTCGGGGCTGGATTGAGCTCCAAGACCAAGGCCACTTTCCTTGTGCAGAACATGGTTGCAGCTTCTAGGCCAGCCCTGGAGATTGCAGAGGCTTCAATTCATCAGGGTGTGCTGCTTCAAAAGGAACTTTCTATCAAGAAGACCAATCTGCAAGAGACTCTCAGAAAATTAGGATTTTGATTTTGTTTTTTTTATTTATTTATTTATTTATTATTTTTTGATGAACAGCTTGTCATGGGGAAGGCCCTATGACTTTTTTTTATTTTAAATAAAGTTATTTTTTGTTGCAATTCTAGTTTTTGATTTCTATTGATGAAATAAACAGAAACAGAAGTAGAAGTAGAAGTACAGAAGGGAACAAACTTAAAATAATCTTAGAACAAAGGTAATTTTAAAAGAATCAAAAGATCTTCAGTGTAGTCTTATGTCTATCCCAGGGTCTGTTTGTACAGCCTGTGAATCCCACATGGTTGGATAAAACTTTTTTAACCATTTGCCATTGATTGGGGCAGTATGAATTTCTCTGTCCCTATCCTGTAACCTATATGCCCCCATTCCAAGGATCTGGTTGATTATGAAAGGGCCTTCCCATGTAGGTGACCATTTTCCATAACCAGCCACATGTGTTCCAAGGGGCAGAACCGCTTTCCAGACTATCTCTCCTTCTTCAAAACTCTTGTTTTTAACTCTTTTGTTGTAAGCCCTTGATACAGCTTGTTTTCCTGCCAGGAGTTGTTGAGAGTGTCAATTCTGCCTGCATCCAATCCTTCCAGTTCCAGCAGCATGGCCTGGGAGTAGTTCTCTCCTACTAAGTTATGTTGGTGAGCAATTCTGAGGGACTGAACGGCTATCTCCATAGGTAGAATTGCATCATGGCCGTAGGTTAACGCATAGGGGGTCATGCCAGTTGCTTCCCTTTTTGAAGTTCTATATGCCCACAGAGTCTCTGACAGCTTTTCATGCCATTGTTTTGGATTCTTCTCAAGCATTTTCCTGATATTGTTGATGATCACTTTGTTGCTTGACTCCGCCTGTCCATTGGCTTGGGCATAATAAGGAGTGGACTGGAGCAGTCTGAATTTGAATGCCTCTGCCATGTCCAGCATTTCTCTAGATATGAAAGAGGATCCTCTATCAGTTGTGATTGATTCTGGGATGCCAAATCTTTGTATAATCTGTTCTTCTATGAAAATGATGATCTCTTGAGATGTAGTGGATTTAACAGCCTTGGCTTCCACCCACTTAGTGAAGTAGTCTGTGGCAACAATGATAAAGCAGTGCTGCTGGCTGCTGGCTGGATAGATCTTGCCAATGAGATCCATTGCCCATCCTCTAAAGGGCCATGGCTTTACCACTGGATTCATGGGAACTGATGGAGCCTGCTGGACTGGGCCGTGTCTTTGACAAGATTCACATCCCTTGGAATAGTTAATGCAATCTTTCATCATGGTTGGCCAGAAGTAGCCATATCTTCTAATTAACCAGCACATTTTTCTCCCACTTTGATGTGCTCCACAGATTCCTTCATGGGTTTCCCCCATAACTTTCATGTATTCTTTCTTTCCGAGGCACCTTAAAAGCACCTCATCCTTACTTTTTCGGACCAAATCTTCATTCCACATAAGGTAGTTTAAAGCCATGATTCTGACTCTCTTCTCAGAGGGCAAAGTTGGATATCGTAGATAGGTCATGATAGGATTTCTCCAATCATCTTCAGTGATTGTGGCAGAATTGACATCTATCTCCATCCCCCTGGCCAGAACAAATGGTAGGCTTTTCTTTCCTATCCTGATGATTCTTTGTACACACTCTTCGGGCATTTGTATGCCTGTTGCCACCTGGGCCAATTCATTGGCTGCAAAATTTTCTTCCCTTGGGATATGTTCCCAAGTGGCTTCTCTGAATTCTGTCAGAAGATTCCTAGCTGCCACCAAGTAGACAGCCAAAGAAGGGCTTAGGCACTTGTATTCCCCAGCAATTTGTTTTAAAACCAGCATGGAATCTCCCAGAATTTCCACAGATTGGATTCCTAGTTCTACCAGCATTTCCAAGCCAATGATTAAGGCCTCATATTCTGCCCTGTTGTTGGTGCATTGGAAATCCAATTGGAAAGAGTAGCAGTGTCTGATTCCAAGTGGTTCTTCCAAAACAATTCCTGCCCGGAAGTTATATCAGTTTTTGATCCATCAAAGTATAACTTCCAAGGTGCAAGATGAACTGAGTAGATAGGATTGTTGAGGCAGGTGGGAGCTCTGGTTAATAGATCTGCATTTGCTATGTCTAAAGAGTCCATATTTTCAATCTCCTCTCCGGGATGATCTGCTAGGAAGTCTGCCACAGCTTGTCCTTTGACGGCTTTCTGAGGAACATATCTGAAGGCAAATTCTGTCAAGGCCAAGGTCCATTTTCCAATTCTGCCTCTTAGCATTGGTCTTGTTAGCATGTATTTGATCAGATCTGTTTTGGCAATGATATAGATGGTGTATGGCAGCATGTAATGTTTGAGCTTCACAGCAGTGAAGTACAAGGCTAGGCAAAGTCTTTCAATTGCAGAATATTTTCTTTCCACCTCTGTTAGAGTTCTGCTCAGGTAGTAGACCGCTTGTTCCTTTCCTTCCTTGTTATCCTGAACAAATAAACTTCCAATGGATACTTCTGATGCAGATATATAGAGCTTGAGTGGTCTGCCTCTCTTTGGTGGGGACAGAACTGGTGGATTTGAGAGGTAATGCTTGATTTCCTCAAAAGCTTGTTGGTGCTGTTCTTCCCACTTAAAGGTTTGTTCCTGTTTCAATCTTAACAAAGAAGAGAAAGGCTGGATCTTTCCTGCAGAATTGGATATAAATCTCCTTAAAAAATTAATTTTTCCTAAGAGACTTTGCAATTCCTTCTTGTTCCTAGGCGGCAAAGCTTCTATGATGGATTTTGCTTTGTTCTTGTCGATCTCTATGCCTCTTTGGTGGACCAAGAATCCTAGGAAATTTCCCGCTTGAACTCCAAAAAACGCACTTCTTTGGGTTCATTTTCAGTTTATGTTGCCTCATTCTTAGGAATGCTCTTCTTAGATTTGTCATGTGGTTTCCCTCCTCTGGTGATTTAATCACCACATCATCAATATAAACTTCCAAGGAATGTCCTATCATATCATGGAAAACAGAATTCATTGCCCTTTGATAGGTAGCCCCTGCATTTCTCAAGCCAAAAGGCATTACAATGTATTCAAAAGCACCTATATGCCCTGGACACATGAAGGCTGTCTTGTGGATGTCTTCTTCTGCCATCATGATCTGATTGTAACCTGCGTTGCCATCCATAAAGATAGCATCTGGTTGTGGGCAGCTCCATCTACTAGCATGTCTGCCATTGGCATAGGGTACTCATCCTTGGGAGAGGCTTCATTCAGGTTTCTGTAATCCACGCAGATTCTGACTGCCCCAGTTTTCCTTTTTAGAACTGGTACAATATTAGCTAGCCAATCAGCATAGATGGCAGGCCTGATGAATCCTGCCTTGAGCAGCCTTTCTATTTCTTCTTTGACTTTCAGTTCTGTGTCCATGGACATCCTTCTTCTGGCCTGTTTGACTGGAAGGTATCCCTCTTTGATTGGCAGCCTGTGTTCTACCAATTCCCTGTCTAATCCTGGCATCTCATGATAATGCCAAGCAAAACAATCTTTGAACTCTTGTAGAAGTGCAACGAGTTCATTCTTAAGTGGTTCTTTCAATAGTGCGCTGATAAAGGTAGGCCTTGGATCCTCCCCTGTTCCTAAGTTTATTTCCTGCAAAGGATCTTCTACCTCTGGCAGAGAGTCATCCAGTGCGGCTGGTGCAAAATCTAACACTTCCTCCTGTAGTTCCTCTTCCTCCTGGCCTTCCGTGCTTTCATGAGTGAATTCTGCCATATTGATGGCTGGATTCTGCGCAAAAAACTTTCTTTCCTCCCAGTATATCAACAATCTTTTTGTAATGGACCGGATTGTTGCAGCTCGATCCTTTTCTTGTTGATTGGGACTAAACATCAGAGTTTTGGAAGTTTAGAACAAAAGGTCTGTTCCAATCCTCCAAAGAATTGGTTAGACCTTCTTCAATGAGCCTCTGGGCCGTGACACCATGGGGGCGGCCGTTCTGGTTGACTCCAAAGAAGGTGAAAGGACCAAGGTCATCATGATAGTACCTTGCCTCACAACACATGGCAGAAGGTAGGAATGGCCGTGGATCGGCCTCTATTATCTCCATGTAGCCTTCTTCATTCCATAAAGCTAACTGTTGATGAAGAGTGGAAGGAACACATAGACTCTGATGAATCCAGTCTCTGCCAAGCAGTGCATTGTAAGTGGTAGAAGTAGTATCTACCACAAAGAATGCAACCTTCAGCTTCTTGCTTCCTACTAAAACATCCACATCCAGGATCCCAAGGGTTTTGGTGATGCCCCCTGCGAAATTGGTGACGGTCAGGCGGGTTGGAATTAAATCCTTTTCTGTTCTGCCCATTTGGCTCAGCATTCTGTGAGGCAGAAGGTTGATGGCTGCACCTCCATCTACCATAATTTTGGGGATAGGAACACCCCCAAAGTTTGCTGTTATAAACAAGGGTCTGAGGTGGTTTGCCATTTCTTTGGTTGGTTTGGAGAAGCAAAGCTGACCTGTAGCCAGCTTGTTGGTGGTTCCTTCTGTCCTGGGATTGCCTGTTTGCTGTTCTGGCATTTCTTCCGCTTCTGCCAACCTGCATTCAAAACTTTCTTGGGAAAATACGTCTCCGTCCAGAGTGCTCTTCTGTCCCTCTACCGCCCAGAACTTTTCTGGCAGAATGAACACCATATTGATGCCTAGGTCAGCACATAACAAGTCCTCCAATTCTGCACCAAAGGCCTCAGTTTCTGCATCCAACTCTCCGTCATAATCCATCTGTTCTCCATCGTATTCCTCCGTCCATTCTCCCAGTTCTTCTGTTCCGAGGGGCGCATTCTGGTCATCTGCAGATGGTTCATAATCCAGCTGCTCCTCTTCATATCCCTCAGCCCAGTCTTCTTGTCCTTCTTCTGGAATAGGATCGGTTTTTTCCTCTGGTTGGGGAGTTTTAAGTAGATCTTCTGAGGTGGAGGCAGGATGGATAGAAGGTTTCTCTGAGGATTCTGCTTTTGTCAACTTCTGTGGTTGAGAGATTGCTTGTTCTGTCTGGGGAAGTATTTCTGGCTCTTTCCCTTTTTTGGCAGAATTGGCCTCTGGAAGCACCTGTGCGTTTTTCTCGTTATTGAGGAATGTGCAGTACTGTCTCTGAACCCTCCTCCTTTGAGTTCTTGTTAGCTCCATTGTTGGTCTGCCATTCTTCCCGACAGAATACCACCTGCCTTCAATGATGGCCGCCAAAGGTTTACCACTCCCGGGCACTTTTATTGATATTTCCTCCTTGGGCTGCTTAGTCATTCTTCTGCTGGATTGGACAGGCCTAGGGTAGTTTCTCTGTCTGGCTCTATCATGGGGCGTGGTTCCAATCCGGTCAAAAACACTTGGAGTGGGCAGCTCCTGTTTTTCCAGGACTACTTCCAGCTCAGCCTCACACTTGCACCTGCTGCAGAGCACTATTCCAGCTGAAATGGTTGCTTTTGGTCTTTCCATAGTCTCTTTTGAAACTATTCTGCTTCTACTGGAGCCAGCCTCTATAGCTGGTCTGTCCTTCTTTCGTTCTGGCCAATTTAGGTTGACCATATTAACTTGTGGCGGGGGAAAAGGATCTGTGGTGACGGATGGAGGTTTTTTTGCTAGCTTTAGCCTTCCTGTTATATGCCTGCATCTCTGAAAACAAAACACAACTATTGGTAGAATGATTCCAAGAATTGTGCCATCTGCAATACTGTCTGCCCTTGAGTTCTTCTGGTTTGGGCATTCTGTGAGGCGTCTCTATTGCTTTCTGTAGCAACATTTCATCAAACAAGGCATCTACTTTGGTCAGATCGAAGGAATACACCTTGTTCTGCATGGGTTTGTTTGGAACAAACCCTCCTGTGAATGGTGGCGGCTTCTGATCCCTTGGAGGCTTTGTAAGAGTTTTACAACTGATGGGATGCAACTGCAACCCCCTCTCTCTCCTCTCGAATCCTCCGCATCTTCTTCTGACTCCACTTCAATCATATGTATTGAGGAAGAAGGGGATTTATAATACGTGCTTTTGGAAGAGTTTCTCTTCTGCTGTTCCTCTCTGAGCAATTCCTCGTACTTGGCCGCTTTATCTGCCAGTTCTGCCAGATCTCCAAACAACAACCCATCAAATCTTTTTCTCAGAGAAATTTTGAGGGCAGCCTGAGCCATTTGGATGAAGTGTCTTTCTTCCATGGGGATTCGGCACTTCATTTTGAGCTTCCTGAACCTGTTTATAAAGTCTTGGGCAGGTTCATCCTCACTCTGTTTGAGAGCGGCAAGGTCACTGATGGTGACTTCTGGCTGAATCCTGTAATAGTAGTCATGGAAGACGCTCTCCATTTGTTCCCAAGTCTGAATAGAATTTGCTGGCAGATTAGTGTACCAAGTGAAAGCTTGTCCAGAGAGAGAATTCCCAAAAAGTCTTAGCTTTTAACAGTGGGTTATTCTCTATGGCTATGCATTGGGTAGAAAATCTGCCTACGTGCTCGACTGATGAAGCATGAGGATCCTCTCCGTTGAATAAAGTGAAGTTTGGTACTTTAAAACCTGGGGACAAGGGTATCTGATCAATGTAAGGTGGATATGGCTTTCTATAGGTGGGTCTTTCCCCCCTCCTGGCCTCAGGCTCCATCATTTCCCTGATCATCCTCTGCAATGCCCCCACGTCATTTAGAGCATTAACAGGGAGGAGGTTTTGTCCCTGTTCTGGCTGGGCATAATTAATTCGTGGTTCTGCCCTATATGGTCTAGGCAGAACTTCTTCCCTGTGCTCCTCCGGCTCTTCCAGGCCTGGGTGGTTCCTCCAGTTTGCCCCCTGCCTGTTCCTGTCATTGTTAGCATAAGGGTAGTTTCCCCCTCTGCCTCTCCTTCCTCTTGCAGGTGGAGGGAATGGATTGGGGTCCATCCTTCTGGGCCTGTAGGGTAATACTGCTGGCTATTCAGGCAGAATTTCCATAGGGTGATCTTGTGGGGCCGCTTGTTGTGGAACAGGCTGAGGCTCTGGCTGATTCTGCGGAACTTGTCCTGGCGCAGGACCTTCTGGCCGTATTGGGGCCAGACGTTCCTGGATAGGAAAAGCTACTTCCCTGTGTCCGGCCTGGATTTCCCCCCGTTCTGGTATCCCAGCTACCTGTGCAACAAGAGGATTCTCTTGGTATGGCCATGCCAATCCTGGTGGGGGACCATAGGGAAGGTCTAGTTGCTGGACCACCTGAATTGCCTGTTGACCTGCCATTGCATCATGGCTGTCATATTATTTAGAGTATCTTGGCTCCTTTGTGTTGTGACCTCTTGTCGTAACACAGATTCCTATATCAGGTTCATCCTTCTGGAGCCGGTCCTGGACCTCCTGCTCCCTGTGCTACCGTATGCTGAATGCCGGGCATCACTCTCTTCTGATTCCAGTCCTTCCCTGAGGGCCACTTGGTTTATTTCCATGTCGTGGTGTGGGTTCTGGCTAGAGCTTCCAGTATTTATAAACTGGCGAAGAACTCAATGAGAATATGTATACTGAGAAGTCCCACTGGGCGTGCCAAATTGTTCACCCGTTTTGCGTTTACTCCTATGATGGAAGGGCAAAGTTCCCCACTGCCTTGAGAACCATAAACTGGTCAACAAGTCAGCTTTCTTTGGTGTGCGAGCGTGCCACTGCTAGCAAAAATTTCTAGCAGACTTAGTTTGGAATGGATAACTTGCGTCCCAAGTTACTGATTTCTGCAAACAAGCGATTGTGAATTTGGGTGAGGAATATCTCCCAAGTAAGTTCTTTTCCTGCCTCAGACTGGTGAGGACTTTAACAATTTATCTCAGTATAAAGAGGTTGTCTTGGTCGGAATGGTTGATGGGATTTAAACTGTTTTTTAGGCGGAACTGCCTTTTACAAAAATATAACAATGAATGCTTATGCTAGAGAGAGATGAAGAGACAACTGGGACTTTATTTCTGTCGAGATGGAAGGTTCTGGTCTGGGCTGGACTGGAGATGCCCGGGCTGGACTGGAAACACTTGGGCTGGACTGAACCGTTGACAACCTTGACTGCTAAGCTTCAACTTGTAAATCGATACCAAAGGCTGATTCTGGCAGAGCTTCAATGTACCTCATGCTTTTGTGAAGCTTTTGAGTGGGCAGAACTGCAGTTTTCTCAGTCTGCACGGGCAGGAGTGACTGTTTTTTGGGGGCTTCAGTGGGCTAGAGACTGCACTGTGAATTTTGTTGAGGTTTTCCATATTTGGAGGAAGCTTGAACTCTTCCTGTTTTGGTTTTTTGCTGAACCAAATTTGTAACGAGAGAAATCTCGTTTTGAATGACTTGCTTCTTAAATATGGACCTTGGGAATTCTGATCTGGAGCTGGTTTCACTTGAAATTCAAGATGGCTAGTTGGTTGATTTTGAACTTATCTATTTGACGGGTTTCTTGTGTAAGATCTTTGTTTGATTGGATGATAAATTTTTTGTGTGTCTTACCCTGTTCACTCCTTCTTGTATTTATAGTGAAAATTAATAATGGGCGGCAAATCTCTTTCAGAAGATATCTCCCCCTTTTTTCTCTTTTTAAAATGGAAAGAAAGAAAGTAGGATTTTATCAGTTTTGGCAGATAGGCTTTCAAAAAATGGGCAATCACTTCCCTGTTTTTCTTGAGAAAGAACCTAATCTCTTTTCTAAATTTCAACTGCCCCTTGTGAGATTTCACCCGTGATGGTTAGTTTGATTTCTTTTCTGGACAGCTCCCTACTTTCCTGCTTATCTCTCTCTGAGCTTGTAGCTTGCTTATCTTTTTGGGAGAATTACCCTCTCTGTAGAGTAGAAAAAATCTCTGATTAATATATATATATATATATGTATATGTAAGAGGGATTTTTATCTTCTGATTTTTTCAAGGTTTTTTCAGAACAGCTTGATGATATAAACTTTTCAATCACTTCTCTCATGACAGTTGCCATTGTTGACTTTTCTTCATCCCAGAGATGTCACGTGGGATTGTTTCCTATCTCTGGGCTCCCCCCCTTTTCATCACAATGGGGCTGTGAGGCCCAGGTTTTGGGCTGGGTTTTTCTTAGATTTTGGGCATCATTTTCGCTGGGCTGGGTGTGTCAATTTTTAGGCCCAAACACCAGCTTTCAACAAAATAGGCATAACTCAAAACTACGATTTCAATCTAGCTCAAAGAAGTAGTTCACAGGGAAAACGAGATTTCTCTCGTTACAAATTTGGTTCAAAATAGGTGATCCAAGAAGAATTCATGTTGTTCATAATATGAAAACCTCAACAAATTTTCAAAGACATCTTGATGTCTTAAGATCCTCAAAATAGCTCGCAAGTGATCTTCAGCCAAGCAGAACAGATACTAGAGTGCAATTCCAGACCAGCAACTGTCAATCTAGCCACTCTTAATCCAATCTAGACCGGAGAAATCTCAGTTCTGCCTATTCGACAAACCTCTCCATGGCTCAAATTAATTATAGCTTTGCTAATCTCAACATTAGTATCGATTTCCAGCTGATCTCTATTAGTTAAAGGTGTTGATGTGCAATTCCAGTACAAATACATCCAGTCTAGGCTAAGCCCCATACAACAATCTAAGCAGAAATCTACGCCCAATGTTCTGATGTCATTCCAGATTTGGCAGTTTCTTTTTATTTAAATGTATAATAAGTAGTTCTCTTTGAACTTGTTTGTTTTATTTTCAAACACTTATTTTGGCTAAACATACTAGTTTTTATTGTGGGAAATTATAAAGTCCTCACTCGTCTAAGGCAAGAAAAGAACTTTCTTGTGAGATATTACTCACCCAAATTCCCAATCACTTGATCACAGTCAATAGCTTGGGGTGTAAGTTATTACATTCCATAGTCTGTTAGGGGCTTTTAACCGTTAACAGTGGCATGCTCATACAAAACAAAAACAAAAACAAAAAAAAGTTGACTTGTTGACCACCAATGGTTTTCAGGTAAATGGGAAACTTTACCTTACCACCACAGGAACTACATCAAAACGGGTAAACAACTTTTAGTAATGATTGTGATACCATGTTGTAGATTATTTTTCAAATTAAAAAGAAATGCTCGGATATATAACTGAGGGGTTGCATTTTTCTCATATTCTAATATAATTATATGACCCTTAATATCTTATGGTAGAAACCTATACCTTTTTCTAGCTAAGGTTTGAAGTAAATATGAATTTTTAGTTTTTTGCTCAAGTGAAAATTATTTATTGTGGTCAAATAAGTTGGGCTCATTAGCCTCTTTTTCTTGTAAAATCATGCTTAAATTTTGACATCTTAAATTAATAATTCTAAAATGCCTCACACTCTTTCTTTTACTTTTCATGTTTTTCCTACAAAAAAGAAAACAGTTGTTTTGCTATTTTATAATCATAATTATAAACTAAAACTCTTGATCAAGGTCTTTGATAAGTTTTTCATGTCCTTTTCTCATGGTTTCATCATTAGTTCTAATGTTCCAAAAATTGTCTAAAAGCACTTTTTATTTTTCTGCCAATGACGCTTGAGTACGATATTATAAAACATGGTTTCTAATTTCCTGCACTGGAATTCCATTATAATAATACGTATTTACTACTGGTTTTGTTTGACTACTCATGCTTAATGGATTACCACCATGTGATGGTGTACCATTGTTCTTGCTTCCAGAAGGTCTGAAATATTGCATACCTATTAATGAATAATACGAGATAAGATGTCTACTAAAGTATTATCCATACCTTTAATATGCTCAAATACTGGTCTAAATCCATTTCCTATAATAGAATCTACAAAATTAACCCTTCTTCTGGCTGCTTGTTTGTTAGTAGTAATTTTATTATAATGAGAAACAACATTTTGACAATTTGTTATAATAGTAAATTTTTAATATGTAAAAACAATGAAAATGCTTCAAACGAGTTTATAACTCCTAAATTTTCTAAGTCTATGGCTGGAAGTCTAGCCTATATATCACTAAATTTACCAGATGCATATCTACAAACTAGTTCTTCATATTTAGATTCTTCTTTATGCTTCTTTTGATATAAAATTCATTCCCATCCTATTGATGATGCGTCTGCCTCAACTATTTTATCATTATTGTCTAATGGTAATGCTAAAGGCTTAAGCTAAGTTATGTCTTGCTTAATATTTCGAACTAATTTAATATCTTCATGATTAAAATATTTTTGACAATTTTTACTATACAAGGCTGCAATCTTTCTTCCTAAATCATGGATAAAATTCTAGCATAATTTAAATCCTAAAAATGCTTGTAATTGTTTTTTATCTTCTAATTTATCTGGAAATTCTAATACTTTTTTAGCTATGTATTCTTGTAATTGTACGGTTCCTGACTTAATATACATACCTAAATATTCTATGTCTTGTTTTTCAAGTTCTACTTTATTTCTACTTATAACTATACCATTCTCAATAAATTCTTGTAAAATTATTTCTAGTGTTTTCTATGTTCATTTTTATTTTTACTATGGACAAGTGTATCATCTACATATACACTACAAAAATTATCATACTTTTTAAAATTTAATATATCTTTCTTTGAAAGATTGATGGTGCATTTTTTTAATCCAAATGGCATAACAAGCAATTCAAAATGTCCTTGTGGACAAGTAAATGTTATCCATTGAGTTGATTCTTTTGCTAGTCTAATTTGTCAAAATCCTGACTTACAATCAAATTTACTAAAATATTTACTCTCTTGAATTTTATTCATAAGTTCATCTTTATTTGGTAATTTATAACTATCTTCATATGTATTATTATTTAATCTTCTATAATTATATACTATTCTAGCTTTACCTCTTTCAAGCTCTAACTATTTTCTAACTACAAAGGGTGCTAATCTATGCCTAGATTTTGAAGGTCTAATTACTTTTAAGTTTAAAAGCTCTTTTATTTGTTGTTCAAATTCTTGTTTGTCTAGTAAGTTACATGTCATATCTGTCATTTTAATTGTTAAGTCTGTATTAATAATATCTAATTTTTATTCCAATGTAATTGGGGATCTTCTCCAAAGATTCTAGTTTATTCAGCTAATTGTAATAGTTCTTCTAAAGTCTTTGGTCATCATGTTCCAAATTATTTTGCTCATCTATCTTTTCTTCATTTATTTCCTCTAATTCTTCCATATTATAGTATTCTTTAAAATTTTGTTCTTCTATAACATTCTAATATGTTACTTTGATCATTTGTGATCATTTGTGATTGTGCCTTTCTTAAAAAATGTAATTTTTGGAGGTGTATACAAAACTCCCCTTTGTAAACATTTTAAAAAGTTTAATCCTAAGATAAATGGATATGATCCTACTAGATATAAATGTTAAGGGTAAATTAAATTGTTGCCTTTCTATTCTAATAGGTATATATTATTCATGCAATGTGTTAAATATACACGTCTTTTATCAAACTGTATTATTGTTAGTAGTCTAGCCAATTTTTTCCTAAATTGTTCTGGTACCAAGTCTTCTTTTATTACATTTTTTATACTTCATGTATGTATCATAGTTGCTGTTTGAATTTTATGCTCTTTTGACAATTTTAATTCACAATTAATTGTTATTAATAAACTAGTCTTTTGTTTCTCTATGTTAGGGCTATTGTTCTTTTGATTATTATGTATTATTTCAGATGTATTTATTTCTATTGGTCTATTATTATAACAAGATTTACAATAAACTATTTTTCTTACATTGATTACACTCTTGAGGCCATCCTAAATTAACATATTTAAATTCCTCATGCTCTTTGTGTTCTTTAAAAACACACACACACACACACACAGATATATATATATATATATATATTCATCTAATTCACCATCTGAATTACGAGAGTAATCTGATTCTAATTCGGAGTCTAAGACATTAACAATATAAGTGCTTTCATTATCACTTAAGTTATCATCAAGATTATAAATTACTTCTAAGTCTTCATCATCTTCTAATTGAAATTGTTCAATTAATTGTATTTTTTTTTCTCAAGGTTGCTTTACTAATTTAGGACATTTAGGTCTAATATGTCCTACTTCACCACAAAGATAACATTTACATGTACTCTTATTAGGTACTTTATATTTTCTAATCTATGGTTTACTTGTTCTTTTTCTAAATTGTTTAGGGATATATTTTCTTCTTCTAAAAGTTTTTGAAGGTTGTATTCTAAAATTTTTATGTTGTTTATGAAGTTTGTATATTCTATAACTCTTTTTATATAGCCTTTTCTGTTTATATTTTCTATAACATCCACACTATGGAAGCAAGATATCTCAGATCCTCGGTTAAATAATTAAGCCAATCAATTTGGGAATTATTTGACCTAATTGGGAGTTATTTGATTTAATTGAGAATTATTCGATTCTTAACTTAATTAAGGATTTGATTTAAATCAAATCCCCAATTACATCAATCTCTCCAAATTGGGGAAGAATAATTTATTTCCATATGTGGAACTATTCTTCAAAAACCCTAGCCTCCGAGGCTCCTATAAATACATGGTTACACCAAGGGTTAAGGTACGTCTAAACTCCTATATGAAACTCTGTAGAAATTCTCTCTCACAAACCCTAGCCGTCATACTCTTTCTCTCTCTCACACAAGGCTCCGGCTACCACACACGGCTTTGGCCACCCAGTTCTCCCCCTAGAGAAATCTCCATCCTACTGTTAGCTATTGTTTTCCTACAAACACTCGACCTAACTTAGGCATCGGAGGGCCTTTGGCCAACACCCCCAGGGTATGGTCTTTTACTCCGTATTGTTTTGTAGAGAGTCAGATGTTGGAGGAATGATCACAAAACTGAAGTATATGATGGAAATATAAAGTGAGGTAGAGAGTGTTTGTAAAACACAAAATTATTCAAACTGATTTTTGTTAACTTCTTGCGTACTACAGCAGCCTATTACATTGGCTATATATAATAACACTCAGACCTTTTCATAAACAGACATAACTCTTGGATTAGTTCCAAGAGTTGCAGACACAACTCTAGACTTCTAAGAGATACAACTCTTCCTAATCATAGCTCTTCTCAAGAGACACAACTATACTTAACAACTTATACAAATGCATTACGTTTAACACTCCCTCTTAATGCATTTGTCCTGCAGCATTTAGCTTTTCTCTGAAATAGTAGAACTTCTCTCTTGGAAGTGCTTTTGTAAAAACATCTGCAATCTGCTCATTAGTACCACAAAATTTCAATTCAATCTCTCCGTCTTCAACCAATTTTTTGATAAAATGATGACGAAGTTCTATGTGCTTTGACTTGCTATGAAAGACTGGGTTCTTTGTCATGGAAATTGTGGACATGTTATCACAGTACAATTTTGTTGAAGTGTTTTGTTCTTGACGAAGATCTACTAATATTCTTCTAATCCAAACTGCTTCACATGTTGTACTTGTGGCTGAAATATACTCTGCTTCGACTGTTGATCATGCCACTTCACTTTTCTTCTTTGACGACCAGGATATAACTTTACTTCCCAAGAAAAACACATGTCCAGAGGTGCTCTTTCTATCATCAATTCCACCTGCCCTGTCACTGTTTGTGTAGCCAACTAATTGTGCTTTCTTCTCTTGTGTATATCTAATACCATATCCCCTGGTTCCTTGTATGTATCTGAGTATTCTTTTTACTACAGCAAAATGGTGATTACTTGGATCACTCATGAATCTAGATACCACACTTACGGCATGAACAATATTTGGCCTTGTATTTGTAAGATAAATTAATGTACCAAACACACTTCCATATATGGATGCATCAAACTTAGGTGCTCCATTGTTACTTGTAAGCTTCAAATTAATTGCCATTGGAGTATCCATTGGTTTGCTCTTCAACATATTGAATTTTTTCAACAGATTTTCAGCGTACTTCTCTTGAGGAATAAATATTCCCTCATCTGATTGTTGAACCTGTATACCAAGAAAATATCTCATAGTACCTAAATCTGTCATCTCATATTCCTTCATCATGTTCTTCTTGAAAACTTCTACCATCCTTGAATTTGTGCTTGAAAACTTCTTTCTTGAGATAAAGTGATGGCTCACTTAAACTTCTTGTAAACCCATTTTGCTGAAAATAGTGATCAATTTTGTTGTTCCAAGCTCTTGGCGCTTTCTTTAAGCCATATAAGGCTTTACGGAGGAGATAAACTTTATCTTCCCTCCCTTTCTCAACATAACCTTGAGGTTGCTCCACATAAACCTCTTCTTCAAGTTCTCCATTTAAAAATGAAGATTTGACATCCAATTGATAAACCTCTGTCTTCAGTTGTGCAGCCAAAGCCAAAACAGTTCTTATAATCTCCATTCGAACTACCGGAGCAAACGTCTCATTAAAATCAATTCCTGGTTGTTGAGAATATCCTTTTGCAACCAAGCGAGCCTTATGCTTTTGGATTGAGCCATCTTCATTAAACTTTGTCTTGTAGACCCATTTAAGTCCAATGATATCTTTTGATTTAGGTCAATCAACAAGTTCCCATGTTCTATTTTTCTTGATAACTCTTATTTCCTCATCCATTGCATCTTGCCAAATATTTTCTTTCACTGCTTCCTCAAATTTTTGGGGCTCCAAAGCACTCAAGGCAAAATCACACGACTCATATATGTCTACCAATGAACACGTTCTTGCGTTTAGTTTAGGAGTTGAATCTGGTGAACTAGGATAAGATGTTCTTGCACTTGGAATTGGATTTTGGAGCATCTGAGTTTCTCATGAATTTGATGAATCTGGATCCTCAAAAAATCTTGGTACTTCAATATCATAATTCTCCCATTTCCAAGCTTTGAGTTCATAAAAAATAACATCTCTAGAAATTACAAAACTATTGGTTCTTGGATCAATTATTCTGTATGCTTTGGACTGATCACTATGTCCCACAAAAATGTATTTCTCACCTTTCTCATCAAATTTTTCTCTCTTTTGAGAAGGGATATGTGCATATGTAGTGCCGCCAAAAATCTTGAAGAAATCCACCTTTGGTTTAAAACGATGCCATGCTTCAAAAGGAGTCTTCTCTTTGACTGCCTTGGTTGGAGACCAATTAAGAATAAATACTGTTGTATGAATTGCTTCAGCCCAAAATGCATTTGGTAGACTATTTCCCTCTTTTCAGCTGGGGCGGCCGACGAAAGGAACTTTTGGTCCTTCTTCTTTTGGATGTGGGGCATGCCACCACCAAGCCCCGAAATTGGGCTTGAATGGAATGAGAATAGATGGATGTGTTGCGCTTCTAACTTCTGACCAAACGATTGATCGGCCAAGCAAGGAACCTCTTCTTGGCCTAGATTCTTTCACTTTCTCGGGCTCGAGAATGGTTAGGTTTCGTACGGATGTTTTTGTGATTTTTATAGTTTAAGTAAAAATAATGCAATTAAACTAAATATGTGTGTAAACGTAAAGACAAGAATTGAAATGCGATAAAATAAATCAAAGCGATAGATAAAGCAAGAATGAAATAAGAACGATAAGAACGAAAAGGAAATAAACTTGAAATTAAATTTAATCGAAGTGCGATAACAATTAAATCTAAAGGAATCGAAATAAACTTGAACTGAAATGATAAGAAATATAAATCGAACAAGAATTTAAATGACAGGGAAAATATAAACTTACACTAGAAATATGAAGAACTCACTACACTAGGTGCTTGAAAAATAAAATCCTAAGTCTAGGAAAAGAAAAGTGCGAGACGAAAGATAAGTTTGTTTGTCTGATGTTGTGTGTCTGATGTCTTCATGGATTAAGGTTTATATAGGGCACTCGTCAGTCCATGGGCTGGCCATTGAATGGCCAAATGTCAACTCTTCTTTAAAATCTTTCCTTTTGAAGCCCTCCTAAATCCGTGGGATTGCGTTGATATTCTTACATGCTTGATTCTTCCTTGTTTTGGAACACTCGGAGTTACTATAAAAACTCCCTTGATTTTTTTCCTTGTGAGGCCCTCCGTCACATGCACGTAATCCTCCGAAAATCTAGGCAATAATCGTTGGCTTAAACTTGGGCATCCGATTTCTCTTGCATTGTAACCCATATAATATATACTAGACTTCATATTATTCCATATATACATATTAATGTATATTATTATATATATATATGTATATATGTTAGCACCAAAATATGGCAGGGCAGCTTGCACTGCCGAGTATACATTCATATACTAGTATATTATATATATATTTATCAACCTAAAATAGGATGGGAAGGGCTTCAATTTTGAAAGCTGGCCGTGCCCAACAGTTTCCTTGGTTTACATATATATATATATATATTTGTATATGCATACAAATAATTGTATATATATATATACCAATATATGCATAAATGGGTGAATGAATCAAGACAGCTTGGTTGAAATGCCTGGTCCATGCGGATGGGCTCATTAAAGTGAAGCCCTCCATTGTGATATACAATATATATATATATATATATATTAGGTCAATAAGTTGGCGGCCGCATTCATCCCTTTTATGCCCAGCCGCACTAAATTGTGCCCAGTTACATTCGGGCCTCAATTAGAACGAATCTCGGCCGCACTAAATTCCAAGCAGGACCCGACCACAGTCTTCCAATCCTGGCCGTGCCCAACAGAAAAATCCATATGCACTTCCATCTATAGCCCAGCCGCAATTCTTCTTCTCCGGTCGCACTAAATCGTGCCCAGCTGCCTATTCATCACACCCGGCTGCATATTTCTAACTCCATTCGAGCTATCCGGCCGCATCTCGTATGCCCAGCTTTTTCGGGTCGTGCCCAGCGAAAAAACCTTGGCCGCAACCTTAGTCTCCAACCCCTTTTCGAACAAAACCCAGCTGCGATCTTAGAGAGCTGTTCAGCCCGGCCGTATTCTCCTCGTGCCCATCCAATATCCCGTGCCCAGATTAGGTGGGTTTCTACCACCCCCAAACATAGACCCTTTGCCTTCAACATGCTTCTTGCCATCTCAACAATGGTTCGATGTCTTTGTTCGGCAACTCCATTTAGCTATGCAGTGTACCTTACTGTCAACTCTTTTTTAAAACCATTGCTTTTGCAATATTTAGAAAATTCATTTGATGTAAACTCTCCACCACGATCTGTTCTTAACACCTTCAAATTGTGACCACTCTTATTTTCTCCAAAAGCTTTGAATTGCTTGAAAACAGAAAATGCTTCTGACTTTTGTTCTAAGAAATATACCCACATCATCCTAGAGAAATCATCTACGAATAGAATGAAGTACCTTTTGTTATTGAAGGATGGTGTATGAGTTGGTCCACAAATATCTGCATGTACCAATTCAAGAGGGGCTTTTGGTCTCCAAGATGATTGTGAGAATGGTAACCGATGGAATTTTCCAAAGATACAGCCTTCACATATTTCGTTTTTAGAGTGAATAGAGGGAAGTCCAACCACCATATTTTTCTTGTGTAACAGTTGCAGGCTTCTTTGATTCAAATGCCCATATCTTAGATGCCATAACAACGATCCATCAACTTTTTCTACTTCCAAAGCAAAGTTTTCCTTTGATGTCATCAACTGCAGAAAAACGTTGTTTGTTGTCATTTTTATCTTTGCCACCAGAGTATTATTCTTTTTATAAGAAATAACACAATAATCATCTTCAAATTTCACCAAGAATCCTCTTTGTAAAAGTTGTCCAACACTTAGTAAATTTTGAGCCAAATTAGGAACATACAGCACATCATAGATAAGTTTTGGAGTACCTCCCTTTGTTTGCACAGAAATGATACCCTTGCCTTCCACATTGTGTAGTTTTCCATCACCAAGCTTGACTTGTGAGTTCACTCTTTCTTCTAACTTGACAAAGAATTGCTTATTTCCTGTCATATGATTACTGCATTCGCTATCCACGTACCAAACATCTTGTGAATCTTGATGAGAACTAAAACATGTATAAAATAATTGCTCTTGAGAGTCATTGTTCTCCGTAAAATTTGCTTCATTGTTTTTCTGATATCTGTAGTCTCTTTGTGAATGGTTGGGTATCCTGCATCGGGTACATTTGTATCGGCAATCTGCACTTTTATGCCCATATTTGTTGCAAACATAGCATTGAAGGTATGATCTTCCATTTTGATTATTTGAATTGTTGCTTCCTTGTTGATATTGGAACTGTTGCTTCCTTGTTGATGATTGGGACTGCTGTTTTGTTGTTGATTATTGAAACTGTTGCCTCCTTTGTTGGAATTTCTACGCCCAAAATTTTTGTTTCTCCTATTTTGAGATTTCTGGAATTGTCCTCCTTTTTGTTTGTCTTCTTTCTCCTTCGAATTCACCTTGGACTGGAAAGCTTGCTCCACCAACTGTTCTGTGGATCTATTGATTCTTTTTTCATGTGCTTCCAATGAATCAATTAATTCATGTAAAGAAAGTGTAGATAAATCTTTTAATTCTTCTATTGCAGCAGCGACATGATCATATTTTGGTGATAGACTTTGTAAAGTTTTCTCTACGATTTTCTTGTCTAGAATAGTGTCCCCATAACATCTAATTTGGTTCACAATCCCAGAAACCTTTGTGAAGAATGCTTGAATGGATTCATTGTCTTTCATAAGTAAGTTATCAAATTCCCGCCACAAGGATTGCAGTTTGATGGAGATCACTTTTTCTGAACCTTTGAACTCAATTTTGAGAATTTCCCAAGCGTTCTTTGATGTTGTTGCTGAAAGTAATCTTGGAAAGAGATTTTTGCTTACTCCTTGTTGAATTAGAAACAACGTCTTGGCATATTTTTTCTTATTTTCCTTGTAAATCTGCTGTTTTTCTTATGTTTCCTTTCCTACTTTTGAAGTTTCTTGTTCCTCATACCCATCTTCTACAATATCCCAAAGATCTTAGGAGATAAACAGAGTCTTCATTTGAATGCTCCAATACTCATAATTCTCACCATAAAAAATAGGCATTAGATTCTGGATATTCCTAATGGTAGAGGGATTTGAACTTGATGCCATTGCTAATCACAGCGGTAGCAATAAGATCAAATATTGCTTTGGTACCAAATTTGTTGGAGGAATGATCACAAAACTGAAGTATATGATGGAAATATAAAGTGAGGTAGAGAGTTTTTGTAAAACAGAGAATTATTCAAACTAATTTTTGTTAACTTCTTTGATACTACAACAGCCTATTACATTGGCTATATATAATAACACTCAGACCTTTTCATAAACAAACAAAACTCTTGGATTAGTTCCAAGAGTTGCAACTCTAGACTTCTAAGAGATACAACTCTTCCTAAACATAGCTCTTCTCAAGAGACCCAACTCTACTTCAACTGATACAAATGCATTACGTTTAACAAAAGAGACCCTTAGCCGATCACATTCTCAGCTACCTCCTGATCAACTGCGTTGACAACAGCATCATTTTGCTCAACCGACACCATTTGCTCAGCAACCCCAGCTTCCTTCTCTTCCGCATCTGCCTCATCAGCTGCACCACCTTTGGCGTTGTCTTCCTCCATTGCAACATTGCAGCTTCATCTGCTACCTGCTCTTCAACTGCTTCTACATCAACAGCATTGATCTACTCACTTTGAGCAGGGGCAAGTCAAGATAGAGTTGCTCTCCATCCTCATCTTCGAGAAGGCAGCAGGAAGGATCACCATTCCAGCAATCCAAGTATATCAGCTTGTATGCGTTAGCAGTATTTTCATGCTAGGATGCCTTCGTGGCTTCAAGATGAGTGTCAAACTTGACCAGCAGCTTGTCAAGATACTGGTCCAGAGCAGCTTGCTTACATTCAAGGCAAAAGTAAGCTTCCTTGCATTTAAGCAAAGTAGCCATAAGAGACTTGAGCTCACCATCATTTTGGCCAACAAAACTCTTGATCGCAGACATACTCTCCTTCATCTGGGAAATCCTCGCACCATGGAGAATCCGCTCGTTCGAGAGCTTGTAAGTCAAATCAGCATTCTTCTTCACCAGTTCATCAAGCAGGGCAGAAGATGGACAACAACACGCGAGTTCCGCATGGCCCCAGTAGCAAAAATCATCCCCTTTGAAGATAATACATGGCAGCTTCTTCTTTCTTATCCAAGGAAAGGCTCGAGAAAGTACCAAGGTCACCACTTGATACACATGCCCAACCAGCTTAGCACAAGCAGATGGACTTGACAGAAAGCCCGTTTTGAGCATATCAGACACAGGCTCACCCCCAACAGAACTATCACCAATTCTCATACCAACAGCTCCTGAAACTGAAGTAGAAAAACCTCATATTCTGCCTCGTTGTTTGAAGTAGAAAAGCCTAATGTGATGACTTGTTCCAACAAAGTTCCGTTTGGGGTGATTATGACGACGCCTACCCCCGCTGCTTTGTGATTTGATGCTCCGTCTACATGCAACTGCCACATGTCATTAGGTAGGTTTGAATCGGTGGGGGAGGTATTGTCTGCATTTTCCTTGCTTTTTGTGACCATATTCTCTTCTTCGGCTGTCGGAGTAAACTCTACAACAAAATCTGCTAAATCTTGAGCTTTTATAGCAGTCTTCGATGGGTAGAGGAGTTTGTATTGACTGAGTTCAATAGCCAATTTCATGAGTCGCTGAGAAGCGTCGGGGCTATGGAGGATCGATTTCAAAGGAAATTCTATCATGACAATTATCCGGTGTGCTTGATAGTAGGGCCTTAGCTTTCTTGCGAAAACCACAAGTTAAAAAATGAGCTTCTCCATTTTTGGATAGCGAGTCTCTACATCGAGGAGAGCTTTTGAAGTGTAGAATACCGAATGTTGCGCCCCCAGCTCTTCTCCGATGAAAGCTGAGCTGACAGCTGAGTCGGACACCGCTAGGTTGATTTTGAGAGTAAGGGAGGTGAAGGGAGGTAGGTTTTCAAATTTTAAAAAGCTACTTCACACTCGTCATCCCACTTGTCTTTGTGTCCTTGCTTCAAGGCTTTGAAGAATGGCCTACACTTGTTTGTAGATCTTGAGAAGAATCGATTGAGAGCTACCGCTCTACTTGTTAGACTTTGTATTTCCTTTGTTGTGGCAGGTGACTTCATATTGAGTATATCCTTGATTTGATTTGGATGTACCTCAATTCCTCTTTGGGTGACTAAGTATCCCAGGAATCGACCGGACGAGACTCCAAACGTGCATTTGTTCGAGTTCAACTTCATGTTGTATTTTTGGAGTAGGCTGAAAAGGTACTTGATGTGGTATGCTAGTTCATGAGCTTTGACTAACATGTCGTCTACGTAGACCTCCATAGTCTTGCCGATTTGATCCTTGAAAATTTTGTTCACCAGCCTTTGGTAGGTTGTAGCAGTATGTACCTCTTTGCCTTGTCGTCTTCATGCATCATGATTTGATTGTAGTCGGAGTAGGTGTCCATGAAGCTTAGCAGTTGATTGCGGGAAGTTGAATTGAAGAGATAATCAATTCTTGACAGTGGAAAGTTGTCTTTAGGGCATGCCTTGTTGAGGTCGGTGTAGTCGACGCACACTCTCCACAGGCCTTTATCTTTCTTTGCTACTAGAACAACGTTCGCCAGCCATTCTGCGCAGGATACCTATTCAATGAAACCTACAGCTAGAAGCTTGTCAATCTCGGCTTCAATGATGGCAACCCGCTCGGGGGCGATGTTGCGTCTCTTCTGCGCTACAGGCTTGATAGCTACGTTGACGTATAGGCGATGATAGATGATCTGGGGATCGATGCCAAGCTTGTCGGATGACGACCATGCAAATACATCTTTGTTGTTATGGAGAAAGGCTACAAGCTCTGCATTTTCCTCCTGGCTTAGGCGCGAACCGATCCATGATTTTCTCTCTGGCTTGTTAGGATCAAGGGGTACTCGCTCGACATCCTCTTCAGGCTTCAATCCTTCTTCAGGAGAGACCTCTAGACAGATTCCCTCGACTTGGTCTTGATTCTTTGATTGCTATTGGGGAGTAGCTATTCCCCTTCCTTTCTGGTCTGTTCGGTCGTTAGGAACGAGATCTGCTTTCTCCTCTACTTATTCTACTCTCTTTTGATCTGCCTGATTCACAAGTAGGAACTGTGTTTACTTGCTTCTCTTCAACCTATGAGCTGAGCACTTCCTCGTCATTGCCTGATCGCTGTTGATTTAGCCGATACCGCCCCTAGGGATTGGGTAGCGGATCTTCTGATGTGTGGTGAAGTTGATGGCGTTGATCTTGCTAATCCATGGTCTGCCCAGAATGCCATTGTATAGTGAGACTTCATCAATGACCATGAACGTTTGCGAGCTGATTACAGGTGGGGAGTAGACGTTGAGATCTATAGTGCCCACAGTAACCGTTGTTGCGCCATTGAAGCCAGTCAGCGACTTGGCTGTTTTATTGATCTTTGTCTCTAAGCCCATCTGTTGGATGACTGCCAATTGTAAGATGTTGGATGCACGACCATGGCCTGAGCAATTTGAATGCTGATGACAAGGGCGTCATTGTGTGGTAGATCAAGGCTGATTAGATCTTTCTTTTGGAAGCCAATCACGGGATCGTCTTCTGCCAGTAGGAGACTAATGGAGACCTGAGAGATCATGATGGCCTGTTTGATCTTTCTCTTCTTTTCTTTGTTGGTTAATCTGGACTCCTCGGAGTCGGCTAGGATTGTGTTAATCCTTATGACCTTCTGGGCTGGCTCCACAGCAGTATCGTGGTCCTCAATATGCTGGATGGCCTACTTGACGATGGCTCCACAGCAAAGCAATTATTCGTATTGTGCCCGTGTGTTGCACGGAAAGTACAATATTTTATGGTATCCCTCTTATCTGGATCTCCTTTCAAGGGTGGCGGTCTTTTTACCCAAGGTTTGTCCTTCACTTGGGCTAAAATTTGATGTATAGGGATGCAGAACTTGGTGTAGTTCTCCTTTGACTTTGTCTTTGTCCCTGCTGCCAAGCTTGTCGCTTCTTTGGTCTACGCACTTGGTCGGTCAATCTTCCTGCTCATAAGACTTCTTCGCTGTGATTCGATTGTCATCCCAGAGTGCGTAGCGTTCCGCGGTCGCGAAGACCTCTGCCAAAGTCTGGATGGGAGTGATAGTCAACTCGCGGTATAAGTCATGTTCTGCTGGAAGACCTTTCTTGAATGCAGAGGATGTGATTTTGTCATCGCACCCTACTATGTTGGCCTTTTCTGCTTTGAATCTCTTGATGTAATCTCGAAGGGATTTGTCGGGCTTCTTGTGCAGGTTGTACAGGTGGTCAGGGTTCTTCTGATTGTCTGGTAAGAAATGTACTCCTTGGTGAAGACATAAGCAAGCTTCTTGAAGCTGCTGATCGAACCGGATGGCAGGGTATAGAACCAGTACTAAGTTACTCCTTGTAAAGTTATTGCAAACACCTTGAACATTAGTGCTTCTTCGATTTTGTATAGGATCATAAGGCTTTTGAAATGCTTCATATGGCTTTCGGGATCGAAATCCCCTTTGAACCATGTGAAAGAGGGCGTTGAGAATCGTTTCGGGAGAGTAGCCTACTCGATTTCGGCGGTGAAAAGTGAGGAGTTTGCTTGGTCTACCTCAACGCGTAGTGCATCTTTGAAATTTCCGCCAATCTTTAAGTCTCAAAGTCGGTTATTCACAAGTTTCTCAACGTCTTCTGCACACATGGATGGTTGGTCACGTTGGTGACCTTCATGACTTGGCCGACACTAATTGACTTCCTTGTTGGTTTGCAGGGGTCGACCTTCTCGGCTGCGCTACCTAGGCAGCATGTTGGTGGATTGCGCTTGCGAGGGATTTTCTGTAGCTTGGTGACGAGAATTGGTTCTTCAGGAGCGAGGCAGAGCGTTTTTCTTCACTGTCCTCATTGTGAGGGTTATCTGGTTGACCTCCCTAAGGGCCTAGCCTTTCATGAACGTTTCCCTGCGTGCCCAGGCAGGCGCAGATGTTAGGTCTTGGGCCCAGCCTATCGTGCACTTTGGTCCTTAAATTCAATCTGGATGGGAGACTTTGTCTGCTCTGAGTGTGGCTCATAGATACTTGTGACATGTCGGCAAGCTGATCGCGTTGTTGTGCATCTCCTTGTCTACTTACTCCTGCTCCACCTACTTGGTACTCATCGAACTGCCTATCGGCGCGTTCATCCATCCTTTTCTCTTCACCCTGTTGTCCAAGGCCAAGGTTTTGAGTCAAGTTTATTTGGTTGAGGAGCTGCCTCATCAAATTATTTTGGTGGTCCATTCTCTAAGTTAGCTGGCCAACTCTCATATTAAGGTCTACTTGGCTTCGTGGATCAGAAGGAGAGAAGTGTGTGGAGCTCAATTGCACATGGGCTAGGGTTTCATTAGAGGTGTACGGAGGGAATGCTTGAAGTTGCTCCAAGATCGGGCCTAAGTCTGCGGTGGTATTAAGCCCACCTTGATGGGAGGTTCCACCATGCTAGGCGGTTGCGCCATGAAGGTGGCTAGATCCGGCCACGGGGCCTTGAGATGGTCCGACGACAGCGGAGACCGGTGCTGTGGTCCCAATTACAGGTCTGGCAAGTGGCACGGTGGTTCCAAACACATAAGGTGGCTGCTGTGGTGCGGTAGCAAGGGTTTGCTACAGGTTCATGGAGACGAGAGGTGGTGGTGCCACCATGTCGACTGTGGGATCGTGGTAGGAATGGCTTTGGGCCGTCGCGAATTGAGCATTGCGGCGGTCTTGCTCCTAGTGCACTTCCTTCCAACCATGGTTGTTTGGAAAGCTTCGATGGATTGGAAAATAGGAGGAACGGATTCCTTGAGCACGTGTTGAGTATAATTCGTGCTCTCAATGAAAGCACCAAATGTTTGTGCAAATAATCTCGCGGGAGAATATTCTTTTCTAGATCCTTCAACCTTCAATCTTCCTTCTCTCTCTTCCTCGATTCCTGTAAAAAAAAGATTGGAGTAAATAGACCACACTCGAGGGTGTTGGCCAAATGCCCTCCGATGCCTAAGTCAGTTCGAGTGTTTGTAGGAAAACAATAGTTAAGCAAACTATAAGGAGTTGTATGTATGGTGTGAACTGGGCGGCCGGAGCCGTGTGTGGTGGCTAGAGCGGTGTGGAGAAAATATGGAGAGTGGAGAGGAAGAGAAAGAGAGAGAGAGCATCGGGTATTTTTCTCGGGTTTGTAAGTAGATTTAGATGTACCTTGAATGATAAATGAAGTCGTCTATTTGTAGGAGCCTCGGGGCTAGGGTTTCGTAGAGAATAAACTCTTATTATGATGAGTTTATTCTTTATCCAAATTCATAGGGATTGGGTCGGACTTGATTATATCTCTTTATTGGGATAATATCTAAATTAATGATATTATCTTCTCTTTATTAGGATAATATCTGAATTAATGATATTATCTTATTAAATAAAGATATATCATATTAATTAAGACATTATCCCTATTAATTAATTAGCCAAATAGATTGGTTCAATTAATTAATTTAAGAGATAATCTTCTTTTCCACGTAACGTGCCTTGATTGGAGATAAAAATATTTGCTCCCACAGTATTATTTCCTAAGGTTAAATTTTCTAATTTATCAATTAGTCCTCTGGGTAGTGTGGAATTAGTATTGTGCACTATTTGATTGATTTATGCTAAATTTTCTGATTTATCAACTAATTCTTTGGGTAGTGTAGAATTAGTATTATGCACTATTTGATTTATTTATGCTATTTGTTCTTCTAATTGATCTAGTTTTTCTGCTATATTTGAAATTAATTGGATAACTAAATTATTTTGTCTTATAGGGGTATTATTGCTTACTACAGATGTTGTAAATTCTGTAAGGCCTATTGGTTTGTTATCTAGTTTACCAACCTCTTCTAATGTTTTGATATATTTATTATTAATTTTAGAATCTGTCATGAAACTAAAATTCTATCTATTTTATTATGTAATTTTTGTACTTGTTCAGTTAATGTTTTTTTTTGTACTAATTGTATTTTTCACTTCTATTTTTAATTGCTCAACAATTTCTAATGATTGAAGTTCTACTTGTTTTGGCTTGCTATCTATAAGATCTTTGAGATCTTTGATTTCTTTCTTGTTAGGAAATCTTTTGAGTATTTTTATTGTTATCTTCTAATTGAGATGTTATATAATCTAAGTTTTGCCTAATTGGTATTAGGTAATTTTTTTTTGAAAATATTCTAATAACTGTTGAATTGTTCTATTAAGTTTATTATTATATTCAAATTTTACACTTTCTATCTGACTAATTAAAACATCAACAATATTATTTTTGAAGGGATTGTTACTGCTATGTAATAGATGTTTGTGTTCTTTTTTGTGGAAAATAACGAACTATTGTATTATTATCTAGAGTTATTTTTCTTCAGTTGTTCACTAATTTCTAAATTAAGGTACTCTATCATATAATTAAAGTCTATCTATGTCTACCTTTTTCTTTTAAGATACCTAAATGTTTTTGAAATGCTTCTATGGATTCTTTACAAACTTCTAAATGAGACTGGTTTCTTATTATGGTGTTTTCTACTTCTGATTTTCTTCTTAGATAATTACTTACTTATGGAGATTAATAATTCTTCTAGGTTCCCAATTTCTGCTTGGTATTCAACTTTTTATCTTTTTGGTTCTTGTAACATTTCTTTTATTCTAATAGGTATCCATGAAGTTCCAAACATACAAAGGGTTCATTGTTCTTAACTAGAAATTATCTGGAAATTAACAAAAATTTGAACATGTTATAACACATTGGTTTTTATTACTTGTATTGGGTGACTTATATCTTCAGGGTACTTTACTGTTATAGTTATATTATTAAAGAGCTAAACTAAAGCTCTGATACAAAATTTTCAGCGGGGTCTTGGTCAAGGTCTCAAAAGGCCAAAATAACAACCAAATACTATGCTTAAAATATGGAACTGCAAAGATGCCAACATAAAGGGCTATGGAGTTGAACTTAGAGGTTCCCTAACAGACGTCTAGTTGTTGTTATGACAAATATCAAATATGACCGGGTGCTCAAACAAAGTATGATCATCAATTTAGCAAGATAATAACATATTTATAAAAGCTTTTCTCTGTGTTGGACAATAAATCTGCTAAGAAAACCAAAAAATAAAAGAACAAAAGACTTACTTAAGTATTGATGTTGCTAGAAATTGCTAGCCCTTAGTATTAATAGTACATCTCTATGTATTAACAATCGTTGAGGTATTAACGGCGTATTAACAGTGATCAGTGTATGAGGAGAGAATTAGTAATAAGGGAAACTATATAAATAAATGGAGTTTTATTTATTGAAAGCTAAAGAAGAGTATTGAGATTTTTCTTCTCTAATATTGCACTTCTCTCTTCGAAGCTTTCCAATACACAACAACCCCTATCACTTTAACGCCTATGATGCCTTATGGATTTACATTGTAGAAAACTACAAACCTTTAGCATATATTTCAGATTACTTCACATGCACACACGTACAAACAAACGAATTAACATGCACACTAAGACAAAAGGCACTCAAACATATGCACAAACAAAGAAAACTTTTTAACATGGGCTGCTGCACTGCTAACACTGTTACTGCACTATTATTGAATAAAGACAAAATCTTCACATGTTTCTTTGAGCCTAAGACTTGCATGTCTTTAGTGCTGAAGATAAGGAGTTTTCCGTCTTTTTGAAAAAAAAATTGGGTTTGTTTATAGTAGGCTACTTATTTGGGGTTTTCACTAGATTCTCTTTGTCTAAACGACTCTAAATTAATCTAACTACGTAAAAGGGATTCGAATTTGAGTGCAAAAGTGCAGCTCACTATCTTAATCAACTGGTCTAATCCATGTATGCAGCGTAAGTTGGAGGGAATTATGAAATCTCCTTTAAAAGAGTCTGAATTGGGGAGATCTTAGCTTTGCCAAAAGGTCTTTCTTCCTTATGTAGTATAATTTCTAAACATGAAATTGACTTGACCTTCTCTAAACATTCTATGCACTTTTGTGCGTCAGCCTAATTTACTTTTGATTTCCACTTGACCAAGCCCACGGTGCTTGTGCTCTAGTTCCAGTATTGTTTTTTTTTAATAAATAAATTTTGAATTTTTTTAAAATAAAAAATAAATTTTGAAACCAAATTCCAATAGTCAATCTCAAGTATATAACGCAAAATAAAGTACGTCACTAGCCTAATTTAAACTAAATGCTCGAGGTTTTTCTTATTTATTTTTTTATGACACAGGGGGGAAAAACCCCAAACAGAACCTACACAATAGGAACTAAATGGGGTCTAGAGACCCCAATCCTATCATTAATCAAAGCAGCTTCAGCCCATGTTTTAATTCTCTTTATTTTTTGCTAGATATGAACTCTTATTCCTTTATTTTATTTTGTTCTTTACACCAATTATTTGTCTCTTTTAAATAAAGTGCCTATGTTTTAAACTTCTTTCTTAAATAGTGGAAATATTTTGATTATTTGAAAATTTAACCATAAGGGCTTTTTGCCAAGTGAATTTTTTTTTTAATTACTGAGTTTTTTCACTTATCCAAAAAGTTTATAATGCTCTTTTTTTTTCCTTTTTTTTAATTTAATAAATTCAAACATATTGTAAATTTATTAATTTAACCTTATTTAAATATTTTTAATAACTAGATTATATATATATATATATATAATCCCCTTCTATCGAGGGATCCCTCAAATAATTTTTTGAGGGACATCTTTTAGGGTCCCCTACAAAACTTTTTTCAATGATCCAAATCATCTATGTTTTAAGTCCACATTCATAGATCATCCTTGTAAAAAATTAGACAAATATGAAACCGTTTTGACATCTAATTGTGTTCTACAAAATCAATTAACACGGTGCTTCAAAAAAAGTATTAAAATTTCAATAACTCAATTGAGTGGTAAAATGATATCGGATTCAAATGATTTTTTGTAGAGATGATCTTTGAATAATTATCTATAAAAAAAGACCATTTGGATTAGTGAAATATAATGCTGAGTGGACCCTACAAAGGTATCCCTCAAATAAACTTATTTGAGAAATTCCTCAATGGAAGCTCTATATATATATATATATATATGGATTAGTCTCTCTGGCAAAATGTTTGACAAGTTAAATTCCGTTAAATTGATCAACCATCAAAGCTCAAATTAGGAATGGCAAAAATCCCCATGGGGGCAGGTCCCCGACCTTAATGAGGGAAGATTTCAAGGCCAAATGGGTATCAGGTACAGAGATCCCTGAACTTGAAAAATCCCCGACGGATATGGGGAGGGGATGGTATTGGCGTCCCCATCCTCAAACTTGATCCGAAAATATATATGTTTATATTTAAATAAATAAATATATAATTATAATATTTATGTTTAACCCTAAGTTACCATCCTTCTCCTAATTCTTCCTAATCTTCTCTGAAATTTCATATTGATGTAATTTTGAATAATTGAGTTGAACTTTATAGTTAATTTGGATGTGTTGAATGATAACTTAATATGAAACTTAATGTTAAAATGTATGATAAATATTTTTTATCACAAAAAAATTGGGGATTCAGGGCGGGTATGGGGATGGTCTCCCGACGGGATTCCTGAAACCTATTAAACGAGGATGGGTTCTGGGATAGGGGCGGGGATGGGAGTTTTTATCAAAAATAGCCAAAATTTACCCCCCTACTTTCATAAATGTCAGTTTTTATAAAAACGTTAAAAAATAGCCAAAAACTCACTTAAATAAACTCAAATACCCTCAAAATTAAAAACAAATAAAAGAAAGAATGAAGTCTGAATTCATGATTAGAATATAAT